ATCGAGAACAAATCACCAAAACGACGTCGTCTGAGCTGAGGGCAGATGAAATGGATAAACATCTGCGAGGAGTGGCTCGTCCGTCGGAGTTGAATGCGCCGAGGGCAGGGACGTCCCGCGCGGTGGCTGGTCAAGACAACGAGGTTGGTGCGACGGAAGCCGTTGGAGCTGAATGCACTTAGGGCAGATGAAGATGGATAAACGTCTGCGAGGAGTGGCTGGTTCCTACGACAAGGACGGTGCGAAGGAACACGCATCGTGAATAAATAACCCCATGTGAGTGTGACGCGGAGTTTGGAAGGTGCTCCTGCTGTTATTTGTTTGAGTTCGATTTGTTCGATTTTTGTTTGTGAGTTCAGCGATTTGTTTGTTAGTTCGATTTGCTCGATTAGTTTGTTTTGCTCGATTTGTTTGATGAGGTTCATTTGTTTGTCCCTTGTCGGACGTTGACTTTCGTTGTAGTTTTGTTGGCGTGTCGACCGTTTATTTGTTGCCTCTTGTAGTTAGTTTGATTAGTACGCTTGCGGCGTATACGCGTAGGGCACAGTGTGTGCGGTCCTCGTAGAGCCCTGAAAAGGTCTTTGGTGGGGAGTATGCTGTGTATCGGTTCTATTAGTGAAAGATTTTTCATGGCTTAGTTATGTTGTTCTTTAGTTTTATTTTGTAGTGGTTTAGTCTTGACCTTGTTGCATTGTTTTGGTTGCATGTATAGTCTTCTGTACATGAACCAAGTGACGGTTACGGCATTGCGCGCATGCTCATATGCTGCCATAACATTAGTCTTTTTCTTCAGTTTTCAGTTTACCTCGTCGTGTCCGTCTTCTTGTCTGTCCGTCTCCGTCTTGTCAAGAAATTATGTAGAACTCTTAGTTCAGTTTCGTTGCTGTGTGTGACGGGTCGGATAGGCAGGGAGGCTGGGCCCCTGACGCCTGGACAACATGCGCGTGTGCACAAAAGCCTTTTTTCTTTTCTATAAATTGATCCTTGGCTCTCCATCCGAGTCCAACTCGTAAAATAAATAATTATGTGGACAGAGAAAACAGCTACTGAGTAGGGCCTGCGATATGATGGTGAGGTGCCAGGGCTCCAATGACCAAAGGTCTCGGCTTCAATGCCACAAGCACGCACCAGGACATGCCCGTGTTTTCATGAAAAAAGCACAGTCAGTCAGAGGAACGGATGGATAAACAAATGGATGGACGGACGGACGGACTGATGGATCGACAGACAGATAGATAGACTGACACACGGACAGACACATGACAGACAGATAGCCTGATGGGTATGCACACAATGCTATCAATTTGATAGCAAAGAAAATACCAATTATAAAATACAAGACTGAGTGGAAGCTGAACATGAACAAGGGAGGAAGGGGAGAACGAGACAGAGACACAGAGAGACAGACAGACAGACAAACAGACAGACAGACAGACAAGCACAGAGACAGACAGACAAGCACAGAGACAGAGAGAGACGGAGAGACACAGAGAGACGGAGAGGCACAGAGAGACAGAGGGGCAGAGAGGCAAAGAGGTAGAGACACAGAGACAGAGACAGACAGAGACAGACAGACAGACAGACAGACAGGGACAGTGATAGGGACAGTGGCAGGGATATTGACAGAGACAGAGGGACAAGGAGACAGAGAGACAGACAAAGACAGAGTCAGTCAGACAGACAGACAGACAGACAGAGGCAGAAACAGAGACAGACAGACAGACAGACAGACAGACAGACAGAGGCAGAAACAGAGACAGACAGAGGCAGACAGACAGACAGACAGACAGACAGACACAGACAGACACAGACAGAGAGACAGAGAGACAGAGAGACCTCTTACCGGTTCAGTGGAGTTATCAAGATGCGGACTACCCAGGTTAATTCCATTGGAGATAACCGTAAGACGACCACTGGCGATCACATTGTTCAGATTAGCCACGCCATCACTAGCTGTCCTATTGCCACTCTCTGCTGTAAGTCGGCTCTCCACAATCACGCTGCCGGCTCTGACGTCCAAGATAGTGTTTGTGTATCCCGGTGTCGCGGCATCTAGCTGCGAGGAAAGACGGTGGAACAAAGCACAGATACATTGTGCACAGTCCATAATAACGACCCTCCACCAGCCAAGAGAGAAGTGTTGTCATTGGCGAGTTGCCGTTACGGCAAGGTTAAATGCATGTTGTCTAGTGGTTAACAATAATATGAACAGGTCGCATATTACCCGCATAAACAAATCATACAGGGGTCATGCATCTGTCAATGATCGTTAACCAGAGTTGCTTGTTGGTGGCGAGGTTGAGGCATTCCTGAATCGGCACTTTCAGAGGCTTGAGGTCTTCTTTGATGTTGTAGACCCATCTCTTGTGGGGTCGTCCACGGGGGCGCTTGATGTTCGAAGTATTGAGGGCTAGTGGTTAATTTGTCTGAAGATAGTTTTGCTCACGATGGTCAACTGCCATCCCGGGCTCCCAGGGCGATCAAAAGCTTACATTGTCGCGTTGAACTAAATTCACTTGGATGCGTACAGTGAAGCAGAGTGCAGCAAGAGTTTTACCTTGGCAGAGGAAAATGACGCTTCCCACAAAAAAGTATTTCACCCGAAAGTCTATTCTCGCTGAAACTGGGCCAAATGATGAAAACATGTGGGATGTAGAAAGGAAAAGGATACATGGATACGAGCTGAGAGTAACTGTCCTCCATTGTAACTAGATACTATTACACAGTCATTTTAGACTCAACATCCGAGTTTCAAAAATTTGGGGATGTGAATGTTATAATAGATGTGGCCGCACTCTTGCCCGAACCCCTCCTCGTCAAACCCTCAATCTACTGCACAGCGGCGGATCCAGCGATCTCTACAGGGGAGGGGGTTCCAGGATAGTCGAAACTGAATAGCCCATACATTTACACGGACACGCATATGGTTGCCAGTAGTAGTGTAATTTAGGGGGTTTCGCGGAACACCTGAAACCCCTCCTCATCCAACCCTCACTCTGCCGCATGTAGTAAACTTCATGAATAACAGCCTCAGTCGTGAGAGATACAAACACAATGTATACTCAGTAACCGCCCTTGTCTTGTTGTCCAGTGTCACTTTAGTTGTCTTCTTTCCCTGATTATTAGTAGGGCTGTGTTTGCTGGGTGACTGATGATTTTTTCTTTCTTTCGTGTCTGGCTTGCAAGTGTTGAGTTTCGGCGAGAAAAGAGCAGGGTTACCGAGAGCAGTACGAGGCATGTGGCGTCTAATTTCCTAATACTTTGAAATTCTCGATGAAGTCCAAATTTGAATTTGCAATCTGTATTTGCTGGTAAAAAATAAAAATAAAAATAAATACACATGTTCGTACACACAGAGAGGTGATCAATGCAATACCTGTCTCTTCATGTCGGCCTTGAACTCCGCGAGGCGCCCCAGCACCACATCATTATAGTCAGCCTGGAATGTCAGTGTGATATTAGAGGATTGTCGAACCTCAAACTTCTCGCTGATCAGCAGGGTGCCGCTGTACGTCGACGTAGGTGTGGTGCTTAGCTGGAAGATTAACTGTGCTCCAGTGCCATAACCTGAAAAGCAGACGGCAGAGTAATACATATCTCAGCGGTTAGAGCGTCGCTGGCCTCAAGCGAAGGTTCCTGGTTCGAGTCCGGGTAAAAAAAGGTAAATAATTATCGTGTCCGTTCCCGAAGGGAACTCACGACGGTCGCTAACACCCGGTATACCCTAGCGGCAGATGCAGCGCCTAACGCCTAACGCCTAACGATTCGAGTCCGGGTAGTGACAGTCAATTGTTCTTCCGGATGTTCCCGTTTGCAGTATAACCTTCCACCACAGTACGTGTAAAACCCTGTACGCCATGGTATAATCCACACCATTGTACAATCCTGCTCAATAAATGCAGTCGCGTCACTTCAGTTTGCACTTTGCATCATTCCGAAGCCCGATGTTCGCAGGTCTAGGGCTGCGCAACGCCCGGCGGCGTGTACCTGAGTGACTCTGCGACTGAATATCATTGAGCAGTACTTATAACCCCTGGTCGGTCGAGTTGCTCCCGGCACATCGGCACGTCGTCCCTACATTCCCTGTGTCTTGTTTTGTGTTTGTCTCCACATGTCTCTTTGTAGGGCTGTGTTCCCAATAAAAAAATAAAAAAATAAATAAAATAAATAAAAACCCATATCATGTTATAACCCTGCACATCCTAGACCCTACTGTAAGTCTACGAACTTTCGACCCGTTCAATTTTCGGCCACCCAGGGCTAAAAGGCCTAAAACACATTTCGGCCACCCAGGGCTAAAACACATTTCGGCCACCCAGGGCTAAAACACATTTCGGCCACCCAGGGCTAAAACACATTTCGGCCACCCAGGGCTAAAACACATTTCGGCCACCCAGGGCTAAAACATATTTCGGCCACCCAGGGCTAAAACATATTTCGGCCACCCAGGGCTAAAACACATTTCGGCCACCCAGGGCTAAAACACATTTCGGCCACCCAGGGCTAAAACACATTTCGGCCACCCAGGGCTAAAACACATTTCGGCCACCCAGGGCTAAAACACATTTCGGCCACCCAGGGCTAAAACACATTTCGGCCACCCAGGGCTAAAACACATTTCGGCCACCCAGGGCTAAAACACATTTCGGCCACCCAGGGCTAAAACACATTTCGGCCACCCAGGGCTAAAACACATTTCGGCCACCCAGGGCTAAAACACATTTCGGCCACCCAGGGCTAAAACACATTTCGGCCACCCAGGGCTAAAACACATTTCGGCCACCCAGGGCTAAAACACATTTCGGCCACCCAGGGCTAAAACACATTTCGGCCACCCAGGGCTAAAACACATTTCGGCCACCCAGGGCTAAAACACATTTCGGCCACCCAGGGCTAAAACACATTTCGGCCACCCAGGGCTAAAACACATTTCGGCCACCCAGGGCTAAAACACATTTCGGCCACCCAGGGCTAAAACACATTTCGGCCACCCAGGGCTAAAACACATTTCGGCCACCCAGGGCTAAAACACATTTCGGCCACCCAGGGCTAAAACACATTTCGGCCACCCAGGGCTAAAACACATTTCGGCCACCCAGGGCTAAAACACATTTCGGCCACCCAGGGCTAAAACACATTTCGGCCACCCAGGGCTAAAACACATTTCGGCCACCCAGGGCTAAAACACATTTCGGCCACCCAGGGCTAAAACACATTTCGGCCACCCAGGGCTAAAACACATTTCGGCCACCCAGGGCTAAAACACATTTCGGCCACCCAGGGCTAAAACACATTTCGGCCACCCAGGGCTAAAACACATTTCGGCCACCCAGGGCTAAAACACATTTCGGCCACCCAGGGCTAAAACACATTTCGGCCACCCAGGGCTAAAACACATTTCGGCCACCCAGGGCTAAAACACATTTCGGCCACCCAGGGCTAAAACACATTTCGGCCACCCAGGGCTAAAACACATTTCGGCCACCCAGGGCTAAAACACATTTCGGCCACCCAGGGCTAAAACACATTTCGGCCACCCAGGGCTAAAACACATTTCGGCCACCCAGGGCTAAAACACATTTCGGCCACCCAGGGCTAAAACACATTTCGGCCACCCAGGGCTAAAACACATTTCGGCCACCCAGGGCTAAAACACATTTCGGCCACCCAGGGCTAAAACACATTTCGGCCACCCAGGGCTAAAACACATTTCGGCCACCCAGGGCTAAAACACATTTCGGCCACCCAGGGCTAAAACACATTTCGGCCACCCAGGGCTAAAACACATTTCGGCCACCCAGGGCTAAAACACATTTCGGCCACCCAGGGCTAAAACATATTTCGGCCACCCAGGGCTAAAACACATTTCGGCCACCCAGGGCTAAAACACATTTCGGCCACCCAGGGCTAAAACACATTTCGGCCGCATTAAATTTTAGGCCGGTGCTGCTGCCCCCTGTATACCTGTATACCTGTAAACATACTGATTACTGAACCTTGCAAAACAAAATTTCGGCCACAACAAATTTTCGACCAACTATGCCCAGACCTAAAATAGCCAAAAATAGCCGAAAATACATTATGCACCGAATATTTGTTGAACCCTGCACAGGACAATGGCTGCATGATGTGCTACACACTAACCCGCCAGGATGAGACGGGAGAAGTTGGCGTAGCCCTGGCGCAGCTCTACGCTGGTCGCGCCAGACCTGACACTGACATGCCGTGCCGCTAGATCACCGCTGCTCAGCAGTGTTGGCGTGATGAACCAGCGACGGCCGGGCTGCCAGCCGTGATCCGTCACGCGTGCGTGAGTTACGGTGTCGCGAATCTCCACCGCAAACACGGACGCGGGCGTCCCTGACGGCGCAGCAATATCGGACACGACGTACGCTGGCTTGTTGGTGACGTGCACCTCGATACTGCGCTTCACCGTGACTATGTTGCTAGACACTGCCGTGAAGGCCACACTGGCTGGACTGACAACGTCGAATCGCAGCTCAGCGCTCACGTCCGGAGAGTCAATGTAGAGATCCGTGTAGTTGGCATGACCGTGTGCAAACGCGATCTCTGTCGTTCCGCGCAGCCCCGAACCGCCGCTCGCAAGAGAAACTCTCAGCCGCCATGGCGACGAGCTGAGACCCAGATTCTGCACAACGCTACCGCTGGAGTCGAGTACTGATACAGAGGGTTGCGAGGGAAAGACGACTCCTTCGGCAACCCGGGCTGACGGCTGTACGTCAATCACCATGCTGTTGGGAACGGACAGGACGATATCGGACACTGCCGCCACCTCCGACTCGGCGTCCTGGAGCTGTCTCGCGGCGATGGTTTGGTTGGTGGCGTTCACGGCGGCTGCGCTCACGGATTCATTTGTCGCCAGTGGCGGCGGGGGAGGTGGAGGTTTCACAGGCTCGGTGACCGTTGCCCCGACAACAGAGACGTTCAGGGATGCGCTGAGCTGATTGGACTGGAGAGCAGTGACAAACGTCTCAAGCGCGCCTTCCAGTTGCAGGATTGACGATGACGACGCAGCAGTCGCGTCTACTGTTCCTGCTGTTGGAGAGCTTATCCCAGTGTGTTGTAGGTGGCTGGATGGTGATGTGGCCGCAAAGGGATTACCACTGACATTCGCCGGACTCGACGAGACGGGGACGGACTGAGTCGTCGAGGCAACCGATGCTGTATCGTCCGTCGTGCCATTGACAGTTTCCTGCAGGGGAGCGGCAATCACCTCCTCGGCGTCATCGGCGATGATGAATTGGAGCTTTTGCGTCCCGGCCGTGGCGCGTCTGGTACGCCCTGAGCTGGACCGTTCGCTCACCACGTCCACGAGACGTATCTTACTCTCCGGCACCTTGAGCAGAGCGGCAAGGTTGCGCACGATCTTCTCCGCGAAGAACTCGTCCACCGTCACCTCAGTGGGGATCTCCAGGTCCAGGACGACGGCAGCGACGCGACGAATCTCCACCGGACCGACGGAGCTGTTCACGATCACGTGCAGCAGCTTCGTGTCGCGATCCATGTAGTTGGAGGCATGCGGGTGCGTGCCGAGCTTCGGTATGAGCTGATCGTCCGGCAGGTTCGGATCCTTTCGAATGTAGACGAGCTTACCGGCCTTGTTGCGCTGTTGATTGGTAGCCGGCACAAGACGCCCATTGCTGTAGATGTCGTAGCGTTGGACCGCCGACTGGAACACGCTTACACGGATAGCGTGCGACGGCTCGCCGTTCAGCACGTGGACTCGCATCCGCTCCGGACCCGTCGACGAGAAGTGGACGGTGTAGTGGAGGTTCCTTGCCACGAGCCCGAAGAATGTGGAGATGCGCTCCTGGCATGTATAGCCATCACACCAGCCGTGGTCTTGTGGACCGTTCAACAGGTCTATGTAGCCGGCTGCGGACAACGATACCGGCGACAAACGACGGACCTGTGTGTCGCCGTCGAGGCTTTCGATCACGATCATCTTGTGCTGCAGGTCGTGGCAGCGGTGCGCGTTCCACGCCGCGTTCCACGTGCACGCGCTGTGCGTGCGGTTGCCGCGCACTACGCCCTTATGCGGCACGACGGCGTCGACGTCCAACTTGGAGCCGTTGGCGGCGGTGAGCAGCGCTTTGGGGATGCGATAGTCACCCAGGCCGCGGCGTCGATCGCCGTTCCACTCAAACTCGGCGCGGCCGATGACGCTGACGCCGCGACCGCCAAACACCTCCCCGGTGACGTCCGTAACCAGGCTGTGCTTCAGACCGTCGCAGTCCATATCTACGCAATCCGACGGGTTGACCTTAGCCAGACGCGGATTGTGGTAGTACAGAGTGTTGTTAGCCAGTGTGTTGTCCACTGTGCATCGGATCAGGTTCATCGGGTGCTGCGCGTCGTCGGATTTCGGATTCGACATGATGGCCACGTCGTGCGCCGTGCGCCTGCCGCACTGGCGGTCCTTGAACCCGGTGAAGCGCACGCGGTAGACGTCCGTCTCGCCGCTGATGGCCGGATCGTGATCGACGACGATCCAGTCCGACTTCGGCGCTCGGTTTTTGGCCGAGTTGAAGCTGGACGTGACGAGGCCCGGACGACCGGACCCCGAAGCACTTGGCGGCGCGTACACACGCTCGTGGTTAGCAGCCGCCGGCCGAGCCATTGAACATGCGCGGGTAGGGCTCCCCGAAGTGGGCGCTATAACGCTGTTCATGACGTAGATTCTCTTATTGCTGGTGACGTGCCGTATGGCCGTCGGGCGGTACACGATGGCAACCAGGCCGGCACCGTTGTCGTACACGCTCAGATTGTTGAAGACAAGCATGGATGTCGTGTAGGCAAACACCCCCAGCTCGTAGTTGCCGCGCGTGGTGAAGCCGGACACCAGGCTGCAGCCCTTCAGGCCGTCCTTGGCGCCGATATGCACTCCTTGAAGCGTCGCCATGACGGAGTTGCCGTGCCAACGAGTCACGGGGTCCGCGTCTGGCATTCCGTCCAAGTTCACCTCCGTCGGGCATGGTTCGCCGTCGATATGGAAACCCAGACGCTCGGAACCGGCCCCCACGTTGTTCTCCAGGCTCAGGAGTCGCGAGCTGCGCAAGTCGTACAGGCTCGGGTAGTGCAGCGAGGACTGATCGGTGCGCCCGTCGTACGTCGGCGGGAACCGCATGCGTACGGCCGTGTTGCCGTGGAGACGATGACCGATGCCGCTGACGCGAACGGAAGTGCCCACGGTGCTGTACACTACGTTGTCCGTCAGGTTCACGTAGCGCGTGCCGTAGGTGCCGATGGCCGTGTTGAGCGAGTTGTGAACGCTGCACCGCTCCATCGACGAGTAGCTAGCGAGCACGATGGCCGCGCGGTGCGACAGCGCCGACGCGAACGGGTCGTCGTCCGTGTATGACTCCTGGCCGCAGCGCACCAGCTCCACGCCGACCAGCGTTGCTAGGCCGCGGTACGAGTGACGTCGGCCCGTGTCGCGGGACACGTAACCAAGGTTGCCAACGTCCACGCGTCCGCCAAAGTAGTTTGGCTTGGCGACCTTGTCACCTCCGTCGATCACGATGTTGCGAGTGAGCAGCACAACGACGGCGGCCACGAAGAACTCCCCGTCATGCCCGCCGGCATGGGCGTAGCGTAGCGGCGATTGCAGCGTCAGCGTGAGACCGTCTGCAGAGACGCGATCCACGACGTGTTTCTCGGCCTCCGCGCTCTCGAACCCGGTCGGGCCGACCACAACCTCGTCGCCGAGCTGCCAGTCGACGCGGTCCATTACAGTTATCGTCCGTGAACCGGCACTTACGTCCGCAGCGCACCAGGAGCGCACGACGGTTCGCGTGGCGCCGAATAACCGGAGGCTGCCGAAAACCGCCAGAGATTTGGCCGGGTAGTTGATCCCGTTGGGTAGGAATACCTCGGGGGTTCTCACGTTTCCCGTCAGGACAATCCGGAGCTTCTGGGAGAAGGGATGCGTTTCGTTGCCGGCGATCAGAGACCCGCCGTAGACGAAGATGAAGTCAGCGCGGAGCGTGTGATCCATCGAGGCATTAAACTCCAGTGTGCCATATATGGTGATGCTGGCGAGCGCCGGGATTCCCACGTCGACGATGACGTGGTGCGTGGCGTTGATGACAACGTCCCGCGTGTTGGGTGGGAATTCCAACGGGTACTTTGCCGCCAGGTCACTCCACAGGACAGTGTTGTTGCTGCCCGGGCTCCTAGCTGGAGGGTTTCGGTCGTCGACTTCGACCTGCTTGGGACCCTGGGCGCAATGCGGATAGTAGCATTGATAGATCTTGTAGTTGACTGCCTTGCAGCAAGCGCGACTCTCGTCAACGCCCTCGCCCGTCACGGCATATGAGATGTAGCTGGCGTTATGCGCGACGCTCCTGTTGGTCCCGTTGATCATCCGATAGACGTGGCGCGTTTCGTCACGTTGGTTCCAGTCGCCGTGGCCGGCGTTCGCCAGGGACCCCAGCGTGGCGTTGCGCTTGACACCGTTGAGAATTTGAACTTGGTCAATTTGCTGAGCGACCTCGTGGCGGATTACAACACTGTCCGTAGTTTTCATCTCACTCACCTCTGCGGTGTACGATACATTGGTCAGTAGCGGACTGTCCTTCCAGCCAATCTCATATGTATAGCCACTAGCTAGAATGGCCATCCAACCCATAACCTTTTTCGGAAGCCGCTTGAAGTAGTTAGAGCTGCTGTGACCAAACTGGCTTTGTAACGTCATGCCGCGCCCCTCCAGCGAAACTGGCTTTGGCTTAATCCACCGTACGCGGAAGAAATGCTCGCTGGCCTCGCAGAACATATTCTCAGGCAGCGTGTACCCGGACGCATAGCGGTGGCATGTTGCCGGGTTGTACAGCCCGCAGGTCGGGACAATCGACCCCGGGCGGCCCCGACCCGACAGGGTACCGTCCTGGTCGCTGAATATCGCCTCGTGCTGCCACTTGAAGCCGACCTGATTGGGCGAGTTGAGGTAGCGGATGCCCGAATAGCGTGACTCGAAGCCACCCTGCTCCGGTTTGCAGTCGCCACAGGCCGCAAACGCCACGGAGCCAGACATGTTGAAATTGAGCATGGTGGTATTGCGAACCGTATAGTAGGAAGAGCTAGGGCTCTTCGACCCGTGTTTGGTCGCGCGCGGCCAGTCTCCCTCGCGACTCACGTTGCTATAACCGACGACGAGGCTGTCGCGAACGCCCGCAGTGCCGACCTGCCACGTGGTAACCAGTTTATGAAACTCTACGCCGGAGTCTCTGTTATCCAGCGAGGTCATATTGACGAACTGTATGGCACCGCCAGTAGACACCTCAACTCCCCTTTCCGTGTTCCACACGGTGAAGTCGCGAAGGTGAGCCGTCTCCTCGGCGCGCCACTTTGCTCCCGAGCAGCCGCCGCTCCGGCGCGGGAACCACTCGCGGAACACCCACAGTCCGTACCGGCCGTAGCTGTGCGCCGAGTTGCCGCGGAACTCGAGCAGCGGCAGCACGCGCACGCAGACGCTCGCGTCGAAGCTCGGCCCCTCAGGGTGCTCGGGAAGACGGAACCAGTAGCCAAAGTGTGTGCCGCCAGCGGCCGCGTTGTCGACAACGCGATTCAGCGGGTTGGTGATCCAGTACGTTGCGGGGGTAACGTCGACGTTGAGAAGACTGGACGACGACTGCGTGAAGATACCCAGATTGTGCTTGATGAGTGTGCCGGTCTCGATACCGTCCTCCAGGAAAAACGCGTGGCCCATGTTGTGGAACGCCACGTTCTCCTCCACCAGCAGGTTGTGCACGCCGTGGATGGTGACGGCACGGTTGAACGTGTGGTGCACCGCGCAGCCGCGCACATAGCTACCGTTCACGTCGCCCGACATGTGAAAGTGGATCGGGTAGCGGCCCAGCATGAACGCCTGACCGGCGTGTCTCACTTCGGCGTAGCTGAATCGGCCCACGATGCGCCCATGCACCGGCTTGTCGGCGAAAAGAATCACGTGCGAGCCAAACTGGTCGGAGTCTGTCTCGGCGCCGTATCGACCCTGGAAGCATGTCTGCGTGGCAAACTGACCGGCGTCGAAAACCCGCGGACACGCGTCAATTTCCTGGTCCCACGTGGCATCTCGATTGCCCTCTATGACAACGTTGCGTGTTAGGTAGCCAACCTCGCCGCGAGTCTCCACCGTCTTCTCGGCCAGCGTCTGCACAAGGCTAATGTGACGATAGCGCAGCGGTTCCGTCAGCTCTAGGCGCCGTCCGCCATCGAGCACCGCGGCGATCGTCCGCTCCTCGTTTTCGTGCGGATGATGACCCGTGGCGGCGATTGCCACCTTTCCGCCGACTTCCCAATCGACCGCGTCGACCAGCTCGATGCTCGTGTCGTTTTCGTGCGCCGTGACGGCCAGCTTCGTCCAGGTGACGTTCATAGGGCGGCCGTGAACGTCCAACGTTCCGTGTCGCACGGCGAGCGTCTTCGCCCCGTACAGCGGTATCTCGGTGGACAGGCGGTGGCCGTACATCATGATCGAGGCGCGGTTCAGGAACGGTCTCCTCTCCGTGCCGATTTCGATGCGGCCGCCTTCGGTGACGATGATGTTCTCCGCCCGTAGCACGATGTCGTCGGCGTCGTGATCGAAGACCAGCGCGCCACCCTTCACCAGCAACGCCTTAAGCACCGCCGTGCTCGTGTCCAGTAGTATTGTCTGTCCAGCCTCAACCACCACAAGGTCTCCGCGACCAGGTGGGCTCTTAAGGCCCCACGTGAACGGCGAGCTCCAGACGTCAACGTAGAAAAAGGACGCGACGCCGTCACCACCGTTGTGCCCGGGGTTGAGGGCCAGGCCGAGACCGGGCACGAGTACCTGAACGGCAGAGGTGACCGTACCCCTGTGCTGACCTGTGTAGCAGCTGATCGCGGTGGACGTGACGTTGACGATTTCGCAGTCGGAGCCGTTGATGGTCACGCGGCTGCCATTGGCGAAGCCGCTTCCGGCGATCGTGATAAGCGTTCCGCCTCCGGTTCCGCCACGCGTCGGACTCACCGAGTGCACTACGGGTGAGACGCTGGACGAATACGTCACCGAGCCGTTAAGCGTCGCGGACGCCGTGGGGGTTGTCACGGTGACGTGACATGTGCGATTGTCGTCGTTGTTGCCATTGTTACGCACAGCGACTGGCGGGGCAACGCAGTGAAGCTCCTCGGCGGACGACACGTACACCGTGCTACATGGCTGTCCACAGACGGTCACGCCTACCCTCGCCGCATTCTCGCCCTGAAATCCGTAACCGAAGACTGTGAGATTGGCACCGCCCGCCAAGCTGACGAGGCTGGGAGTCACTGCCATGACGACGAGGGGAGCGGATATTACGACGTCATTATTGGTCTTGCCCTTGCTGTCGACCAGGCCGCTGACATTGTATGTGCCACCGACCAGCGCTGGCATGCGGATGACGACCTGAGATGCTGCTGAGGCGTGCAAGGTGGCCGCCGCAGCCGTCACCTTCACACCACCAATACTTATAGTCAACGTGCCGCCGTTCAGTCCACTCCCGAACACGGTTACGTTCTCCCCGCCCCGTGCCTCGCTCACGCTCGTCGAGGCAATCGCGGGCGTGGCCTTGCTAGACGAGTTGTACACCAGCGTGGTGGCAAGCGAGAACGCGGCGCCGTCAAAGTAGACGACCAGGTTGTAGACGCCTGCGTCGTGCGGGGGCGTGATGCATGTCACGTACGTGTCGTGGCAGTCCACCAGTCTGCACGGCTTCCCACCGATCTCAATCAACAAGCTGTCATTATCTGCTGCTAGAGGTGGTAATGGCGACAGTGACGGGGCAAGGCTGGAGTTCTTGCAGTCGAAGCCAGCACCACGCACTACTAATCTCAGGCCACCGTGAATACTGCTCGTTGAGCTGCTCAGCGTCAGCTTACCGTTGCTGATCACGGTGGCGTTGCTGACGCCGTCGCCGAGGCTTGTACTCGACACGTCCACCCGGTTCACGCCGCTCACTATCGTGCTGTTCGCCATGCACACTATGATGTCATTGTCACCAGTGGTGTTGTCATTGCTCAGCTCAACGATGCGGCAGCGACGTCGGCCGATGCGAACCACGAGATCATCATTGCCGTGGCGATTGTAATGGCTGAGGTTGCGAGTGGGGAAGTGTCCACGCAGGGTGAAAAGCGTACCATGGTCTGTGCTGTTCACAGTGGCTGGGCTGACGGCGGTAACGAATGGAGTGGCTGAGCGGCTGAGCTTCACCAGGCATGCGTCCGAGGAGCACACGTGGTGGTAGGACTCCCGCTGTGGATAGCCCTGCACGCTCATCTCCAGCCGAATGTAGTACGTGTCAGCCGGGTGCGTGCCCTGCCGCCCGGAGCTCTCCAGCCTGCACACGACATCACTCAAGTTCGCCTTCACCACCGCGCAGTTGACACGCACACCGCTCGCTGTGCCCAGCAGCGTCACATTCAAGCGACTCGAGCGCCGCACGTCGACAAGATTGCGGCCGCGAATGTGCAGCAATCCGCCGCCGCCGAGGGACAGCTTTGCCGGCGAGACGGCTTCCACGACCGGGTGGAACGAGTAGGTGAGATTTCCGGGCAGGGAGGCACTGGACGAGGCAAAATGTGACACTCGCGGCAACGCCTGCCCATACGGCTCCACGAACAGACGTACCGGGTAGGCGACCAGCACGGAGTCGCGCCACGACATCACCGGCTTGCAGACGATCAGACGCGCGCTGGCGTAGACAATGTGGCAGCGGGCCGCCTCACTACCAACCCGCACGCTCAAATGACACGGCAGTGCGTCGCCAATGCTCACGTCCAAATACAGCAGATCCTGGAAGTCGTCGACGGCGAACACCGACGGAGTGGAGCAAACGTCGTCGTACAGGAATTGGAAACGTACGTCGCTACGATCGGGCCAGTCCATCATTCTGCCACTCACACCAACATACGCTTCGCCACTAGACGGTGTTGTTGAGGCTGCTGCTGGTCGTACCATATACTTCAGCATGTCTGTGCGATCAGAAATCTGTGGCAGGCAGCTTCCCTCCTGAGGAGGCCGCGAGCTGACGGAGCACTTTCCGTACGCTTCCGTCATCACGGACGAGACGAGACGGCGGAGGAACATACGCGCCAGTCGTGCAGCAAGAGTGTCCCGCCACGACGCCGACGACGACTCGTAGTCGTCATGCGCATGTGTGTCGTAACTGCTGGGCATGGCTGCGGTGACGGCGGCATTACGGTACTTCAAGTCGGGGGTTCTCTGCAGCGTGTGCAGTAGTACACGTGCTAATGAGAATTTGTCACCGGTCAGCAGTGAGGTAATGCTCATCTGCAGAAACCGTTCCGAAGCGGGCATTGTGGAGTCGTTGCCAAACGTACCGTTTCCGGCACTGCTCTCGTTATGCTGGTGGTGGTCGTGTTGGCAACCACGACCCGGAGACGAGTCGTTGCATAATGAGTGGTTACCACGGTGATCACTCCAGCTACAATTCCCACCGCATTCAGAACTACTGTGCTGTTGGCGAGGTGACGATGAGGCGGGATCATACGACCTTGATTGTTCAGGCCACCACTCGCCGTCCCTTGTCTTTGCGCTGCTGCCGCCAGGTTGAATGGCCGTCAGGTGGGCCAGCAAGGCTTGGAGAGTATTCTGTCTCCATGTGTGTCGATCACCCAGCGTGATCTTCAGCAATGCGTCGTGGCAAATGCCGGCGTGTCCACGCAGTTCCCGTGCGGCGGAGCGCTTCTCCAACTCGCCCTCGCTGACAAAAGCACTCGTGTTCTCGATGGCCATTATCCACTGGCGTATACTGTAGTCGCCAATGCTCCCGTTCATCGATGGGTAATCTCTGCTGCCGGCAACGCTGCTGTTCAGAAGCCATTGGCGCAGCGCTTTCGCGTCAATGCTGCTGTTGGCTGCTTTCGACGAGACGGAATCATTCCCGCCACCACCGCTGCCAGGCTGTTCTGGATGCTGCAAGTGTGAAGAGTTCAGTGCATATCGGTACTCATTATCGGACTGGTGATGTGTAGTTGAGATGGACCCGCTGCTCAACAAGAGGCTCCACAGCCAGTCACGGAACAGCACCACCGGTGTGCACGCACTGGGCTTGGCGGCGTGAGATACAGCAGCACCAGCAGCATCGCGCTGTGTGGCATTTCGAATGCCTACGCTCGCGTTGAGCACGGAGGCGGCGTCCGCCCGTTGGAACAGCGCGTCCCAGGTGACGTTCCTGGCGCTAAAGCAACTCCGCACAGCTCTCATGTCGTGCGTTGTGATGTATGCGATCGGCGGCGTCGTCGTGGACATACGGTACAGAGCGGCAATCGCCATGGTTACCTGCTCAAGCCCTCCCTTAAGAGCCTCTGCAGCCAATACCTTGCCGTCGCGGGAGACCATGTCCCAGAGCATGGTCAGTGAGGCCAGGGCCCCGGAGAGGCTTGCGTGTGTTGCGTTCGGCGGACTGGCAACGTACACCACCGTGCTGCCGTTGTTCATCTCCACTCGCAAGTGTGTGCTGTTGTGCGTGGAGATACGCGTTCCACCGCCGCCAAGCTGCGTCGAGTTGTCAGAGCCCCCAGCAGCGGAACTGTTACTGTTGCCCCAGGATCTGTTGCCCCAGGGCCAGGACCTGTTACCCCAGGGCCAGGAGCTATTGCCCCAGGAGCTGTTGCCCCAGGGCCAGGAGCTGTTACCCCAGGAGCTGTTGCCCGAGTGACCGTCGTACGAGGGGAACGCGCTCAGCGACTGCAGTGCAAGCACATCATCGTCGGTAACATTGCCATACGTGGCGTTCTGCAGCAGCAAGCGTCCCAGGGCGCGCACGTGCGGATTCTGCTGGGCGGAGCGCAGCACGTGATCGGCGTAGACCTGGCGTAGCAGGCGTACGCTGGCGTTGAGCTGCGGCATGTTCGGGTCGCGCTGGCCGAGATGCAGGCAGCGCTGCACCGCGTCGAGTCTGGTGGGCTCGGCCGCCACTTCCCGGCCACGCACGTACACACGCACGCTACGTGAACTGCCGCCGACGACGATGAAGCGGCTCTCGTGATCATAACCGCTGGAGTTTGTCGCAAGCAGGCCTGGCAAGGCGAACAAAGCTGCCGGGCCAGTGATATTGGTGACTGTGCGCGGAATCACGATTATCGTTCCGCTGGCTGTGTCACCGTTGGGCAACGGCGGCGCGGATTTGTACATGTACTTGCCGAGCGCCCAAAGGTGCACCGTGTAATTGCCGCTGAGTGATGCTGTGGTCCCACTCTGGAATGCCCTGGGCGGCTTGTGGCCATCCAAGGGTGATGGCCCCGCTGTCTGTAGAATGTTAAATGGTGTCTTGGCGCTGCCGTGCTGTTCCCACTTGAACTGCAACAAAAGACAAATCAGTCCAGAAACACAGGAAATGAGTCGTCTGAGGATTGCCTTAGCTTCTGCTATGTGCATGAAACGCAGTGTTACGACAATGACCTAGCCGGTTGTCTCTGTTCTCTTCTGCTTTTGTGGTAATGCTCCATCCTTGTGGTGTTGAGCACTCTAGGTAATTTGGGAAATCTCTCTATCGTAAAGGAAGAAATGCGTAGAGACACAATGAACTAGAACCCAGCATGAAGTCACGCACTAGTTTGGTGCCTGAGATACACAACATTACGTCGTCACAAACACTCACACGCATGCATGCATGCATGCGCACGTGTGCACACACACACACACACACACACACACACACACACACACACACACACACACACACACCACACACACCACACACACACACACACACACACACGCGCGCGCGCGCGCACGCTTACCGTGACAGAGTCGCCTGGGTGGATCTCCAAAGCAGGTGGATTCCAAGCATAGCCTTTGCCGATGACTGTTCACACAAAGTAACACGACACAAAAACACACACACACACAGGCACGCATCCAAATACGTACACAGAGTCAAACAACCACAATTCGGCCAAAACCGGGTTTTGAAAAGCCAGTGGGACTATTTTTCGATGAATTGACAGCACAATTCGGCCAAAACCAGGTTTCGAAAGGTCAGCGGGACTATTTTTCGATGAATTGACAGCACAATTTGGCCAAAACCGGGTTTCGAAAATCCAGCGGGACTATTTTTCGATGAATTGACAGCAGGATGGTGTGTATTTGGCCATGCCTTATCGCCACATATATCTATTTCTGCACACCGTAGCATGTCAAGACAGCCAATAGAATTGAGGAGAGGTCGAGACCAAACGCATACCTGGATGTCTGCCGGTGTTGGTGACGATGTGGTGCGTCTTGCGCGGCGGGGTCCTGCAGGTGATCTCGTCATGCTGCGCCGCCACTATCGGACATTCAACGCCACTATTGCCATGACTATCAGCGGCACCGGTAGAACGAAGGCTGCCGAGCGTAACCTTGACGAGTCGTTTGTCCGTCGGGAACCCGCTGCCATGGATTCGAAGCAGAGTTCCGCCGAGAATGGATCCCGTGCGTGGAGAGATGCCGGACATGCTGGGAGCGGTGGAGTGAAACACACAAGAGGTGGAGCAGTCATCCGGAGCGGACGCATCGCGACCATGGCGACAGGGGATGTACACAATTGTAGTGCTGCCGCTGCTGTTGCTATGTGAGCCGCTGCTGTTGCTCTGTGGGTTGCTGTCGTTTCTCGACAACGACGTGTTGTTTCGTCTTGTGTCGACGCGTCCGCACACGCTCTGCCCAACACCCGGTATAACGACGCGTACTTTCAACGTTTCCGAACTTTTCCCCTGCCCATGCGTTTGCTTACTGTCGGAGCCGGTGCTGTAAGAGGAGTATGAGCTGCTGCCTTCGCTCGGGAAGTACGCCGCCGTTTGGTTTTTCTCGTTTGCACTGCCACTGGTTTGTGGTGATAGCTGTTGTTGTTGTTCCCTCGACGACAGCGGAGTGGCTTTATCCGTGACGACGCAGTACAGAGAGTGCTCCGCCACGTCGTAGATACGACAGAGCCAGTCACCCACGGCGACGTACGGCCTCGGCGACCCACCGCCGAGGTCTACGATGAACGAGCAGTTGCGGCGCTCCACCAGGCGTGTGCGCTCCACCCACTGCTTGTGCCCCGAGCCACTACCGCCGACAATGCTGCCACTACCCGAACTACCACTACCACTGCCGCCATTACCAGAGCTACTACTACCACTGCCACCATCACCCGAGCTACTACTGGCATTGGAGAACGTGCTACTATTGGACACGGTGTCATTGCCAGAGCCGAAACCAGAGTCGGTATCGTTCCACGATCCTCCTGTGTAGTTGCTGCCACTTGCAAAGTCCGATACGCTATCGTTGTTGCCACCACCACCGCCACCACCACTACCACTGTACTGGTCACCAAAACCGTCGTCCTTGGCGACGACGATGTACTCCGTCGCGGTCTCGTTGACGTAGTAGCTAACGCAGGAGCGTGCAAACTTGCCGTGCACCGTGAAGTGCGTTCCCGGGTAGACCGCTCCGCTGGCGGGCGAAACGCCGCTCACGATCACGACGTCGTCGGCGGTGTCGTTGAAGTGGTAGCTGAGGGCCTGCCGCGCTTCCACCGAGTTCACAGTGACGGACACCGTCGTGGGCCCTGCCGTGTCACCGCCATGGGGCGTTTCGAACAGCACGTGCGTCCAGTTTGCACTGATTGGCTGAACGGTTGTGTTGCCAATGACAACACCGACCTCCTCTTTAACAGCACTGAAACCGGCGCCGACGATTGTCACCAAGGTACCGCCGGCAATCGGTCCAGACGAGGGATGCAGAGACGTCAGATTCACCCAGGCACGCAGGTCAGGGCCGTCTGCACCAAAGCTGGCGCTACTCGATGTGATATTGCGCAGCGCCACCCCGGCCGGGAGTACCGTGACGTGCACATCGTACAGTCCGGCCGCTAGCAATGCCGGCGGCTGACAGAGAATATCAAAGTCCGTGACCATGGTGGTAACGCATGGCAACGGCAGAAATGGGTTAGCAGTGTACTCCGAATGGTCATCATATTCGCCCGGTCCATGTCCCCCGGATGTGTTTCGATGAGCTGCCAGCCAAACTTTGACGTTGGTGCTGTTAGCGCCAAACCCGGTGCCTTGGATGTTGATTTCCACTGGCTGTGCACCGGCCTGGACAGGTTCAATGTACGATGGGGTCACTGCACTGGCCTGGACAGGTTCAATGTACGATGGGGTCACGCCGGTTATGCTGGGCGTGGAGGAGATGTCCGGTGCGAACGAACAGTCATCGCTGAAGCATTCCGCTGGTGTACCGCCGACTTTCACAATCACCTGCGAGGGAGAGGGAGAGAGAGGGTGAAAAGAGAGAGGGAGAGAGAGGGTGAAAAGAGAGAGGGAGAGAGACCGATCAACCGATGGACAAGTTTTCCATTGGGAGAAAGGCAGACATGCATACAGACATACAGACAGATAATCTCTCCTGCGTCACGTTTTCAAGCATGGCCCATCCTGACGGCAAAACAGTCTAACCACGGAATGCTCCAAGCTCAAAGTCTTGCCGGCTAAGTACAGATAGAGTAAAACCTGTAACTAAAGACCACCGTGACTAGCGACCAGCCTGGTACTGCAGTAAAACCTGTAACTAAAGACCACCGTGACTAGCGACCAACCTGGTACTACAGTAAAACCTGTAACTAAAGACCACCGTGACTAGCGACCAGCCTGGTACTACAGTAAAACCTGTAACTAAAGACCACCGTGACTAGCGACCAGCCTGGTACTACAGTAAAACCTGTAACTAAAGACCACCGTGACTAGCGACCAGTCTGGTACTACAGTAAAACCTGTAACTAAAGACCGCTGTGACTAGTGACCAGCCTGGTACTACAGTAAAACCTGTAACTAAAGACCACTGTGACTAGCGACCAGTCTGGTACTACAGTAAAACCTGTAACTAAAGACCGCTGTGACTAGCGACCAGTCTGGTACTACAGTAAAACCTGTAACTAAAGACCGCTGTGACTAGCGACCAGCCTGGTACTACAGTAAAACCTGTAACTAAAGACCACCGTGACTAGTGACCAGGCTGGTACTACAAACCACTTTGCCAGACACGGACGGTCTCATCTTCATATTATGGTTGTGCGGTGCAAACCTCTAACTAAAGACCACCTGCCACTAAAGACCGCTTTCTCTGGCCCCAAGGGGTGGTCGTTAGTCACGGGTTTTGCTATACTTCGAAGTACCTGTGGTGTTGTGTGCCGTGTTTGCAGCATGTCCGCGGCGATGGGATCAATGCTCAGGGAGCCTTCTCTGGCGTGTGGAGAGTCGTAGCCAGCGCGCACCTGCACATTGGTTTGGCTACCTGGAAGGTACTCAATGTAACACATCACAAACACACACACACACACACACACACACACACACATGCGTGCACACATACACACACACATACACACACATACACATACACGCACGCGCACACACACACACACACACACACACACACACACACACACACACACACAAGCAAACACACACACACAATCACACGCACACAGGTAAGCAAGGAACTGGAGGAACGGTTTATGGAAAATAGGTCCACCCTCGCAAGGCCAACACCAAGTCCGCCCAGCTCAAAAGAAGAGAACCGGATTGTGAGAATGTGAAGTTGAGCATACCACCAACCTCAGTGACAAACTCTACACTAGCCGCTAACAACTGCTTTATAGTGCGCTTCCAAAGTATAGACTTCACTTTTCGAAAAAATTAAAATTTGAACTTATAAGTTGCGACTTCAGCGGCAATAGTCATGAAGTTGGTTGTTCCAACAAGGAACACATGCTTCCTGCCGAACTGGACACTTGACTGACTCACGACTGCCATCCGGAGCACACGAGGAGCACGTCGCACCTGCCACTCGGCAAACCTGCAAGAAAGCATCACTCCCTGCTCAATGCACAGTGTTTCGGGGAATTCACCCCTCATTAGTTAAGCTTGAGTAGGCCGAGGAAGATTGTGCCTGAAGAGTACCACTTATATACTGCTCTCCAGGCACAAACATCACCAGGGAAACAAACTTACAGAGACGCTTTGTTTCCAGCGCGACAAACACCTCGTAGAGCCCCAGGTAGCAGCGTGAATCAGAGTCGCTTATGGAGTTGTGCTAAACAGACGTTGAGAGCCAGTAGCTATTCACAACGCTGTCACCTCCAACAACTAATCGCACGTCCGCGTGAGGGACAACAATATGTATTGTTGTATTCGTATCGTTGTCCCTCACGCGGACGTGCGACTTGTTGTTGGAGGTGACAGCATTACGGTGAATAGCTACTGGCTCTCAACGTCTGTTTAGCACAACTCCATGAGCGACTCTGACTCACGCTGCTACCTGGGGCTTCACGAGGTATTTGTCGCGCCGGAAACAAAGCGTCTCTGTAAAGTTTGTATCCCTGGTGATGGTTTGGCCTGAAGAGCAGTGTGTAAGTGGTGCCTTTCACTTTTCAAGTTTTCATGTATGCAGGATGCATGGATGCAGCTAACGCAGCTTATGGGGTCGTTCTCGGCACTTGTGCCAGTGGTTGTGAGACGTATCCACTCACCCCCACCGTTAGGCGCTGCATCTGCCGCCAGGGTTTACCGGGTGTTAGCGGCCGCCCTGAGTTCCCTTCGGGAACGGACACGATAATTTTCTTTTTTACTTACTTTTCTTTCACTTTTCAGGCACAATCTTCCTCAGCCTACTCAAGCTTAACTGATGAGGAATGAATTCCCCGAAACACTGTGCATTGAGCAGGGAGTGGTGCTTTCTTGCAGGTTTGCCGAGTGGAAGGTGCAACGTGCTCCTCGTGTGCTCCGGATGACAGTCGTGGGTCAGTCAAGTGTCCAGCTTGGCAAGAAGAGTGTGTTCCTCGTTGGAACAACCAACTTTAATTAAAATTTGGTTTCCGCTTATGGAGAAATTTTTGGACTTTTGCTCAGGCAGCTCTCGCAATTGTTCTCACATACATTTCCATGGGGTTGGTTGAAAAACGTCCAATTTTGAAATTGTTATGCACAAAGTGATCACAGATTTTATGTGGTATACAATGTAGATGCTGGTCCAACAGTTTTTTGAACCCAGAGGTCTGGACTTTTGAAACGCACTACAGTGCGCAGCGAAAACATTTCATCTCTTCATCCCCAATCCCCGATCTGTATTCTGTTTGTTCTCCTCTTGTTGGCCACAGGCCACCGTGACAATAACGTATTGCAAACTGTCCTCACCATCCAAGTACTGTATTCCCAGCAGCGGCTTGTACCCTCCCACCGTCTTCCACTCCAGAGAGAACGTCCGGTTGAAGCAGTCATCAATGCCGGCTGCCCTCTTCACCACAACCTCCTCGAGACCGGGCACGAGGTTTACATACGCTTGCAGCTTGTCCGTGTCCACACCGACGGGTATCGGCTTGGATAAGTTGCCTGCAGGGAAAGAGAAAGGGTTAATGCAGCGGAGTCACATACCGAACACAACTTACGATGTGAAGGCTCCTCAAGCAGCTCTCAGCTCCCAGCTCTCACAAGCCCGGCGGAACTGGTGCGGTTGGTCCAGCCATGACCGGACCAACTTTTTGGCAAGCAATGTGTGTTTACTGCTGAGGAGGTCATGTGTATACCCTCCATATCATACACAAACTGTATGAAAGTCATGTGACTACCCTCCATATCATACACAAACTGTATGAAAGTCATGTGACTACCCTCCATATCATACACAAACTGTATGAAAGGCTAGGGTATGGCCGGAACAATCAAAAACTGCTTCCGCCGGTCCTGTATAATCAGCTCTCAGCTCTCGGCTCTCCGCTGTCACATGGATTGAGGCTGGCATTGCACGGTGGAAGACTGCATGGTACTTTGTTATGTGTGGCGTTGAATATACACCACTGCGCACAATTCATACACATTGTTCAACGACACATTCTTTAAGTCACTGGTGCATAAACGGGGACACAACAATTCAAATACATGGTTTGTTGCAACTCAGAGTTTTCCACGCTTGGCAATCATCGGGTACACCGTCCATGCGCTCTAAGCCAAACTGATGTTCTTCGATATGTGTGTGTGTGTGAACAGGGCCGGCGCCACTGGTGCGGCTGGTGCGGCCATGGCTGTACCAGTTTTTACCAATTCCAGCGCTCATGGGCTGCTCATGGGCTGCTCAGTATGCACTAATATTTTAAATCATGATCTCAAAGTACTAGCAATAAGCGATCCTAATATACTCCTCGCTAGAGGCTCTCCCTCCAAAACTGTTCTTCTCGTCCAATGAGGTCTATTGTGCTACGTGTAATATCTACTGCTAGAGGAATATGTAGCTGAAACAAACAGATATCAAGTGTAGAACTAGAAATGTATCCTTCCAGGATTTTGAAATTGGGCGTGGGGGATAATCAGTCCTGTAGCGGACCTGGGGCTGTACCACCCTTCAGGAGCTGGCTCCGCGTGAATAGGGAAGGTCGTAACGTTACATGTACATATGGTGTATCCAGAGCGTGACGATGGCGAGATCAGTTGGTCGACGTAGCGCCTGGTCCCCACCGCCATGGCTGCTGCATGTTCCCATTGCGTGCACCACATGGCTTTTAGTAATACAAAATGCCTAGATGTATTGAACATACCTTGATATGAAAGAATGAAGTAACCGTACGGATTAATAGCCTTGACGGGCCGCGATAACTTAATGCCCGGAGGAGATGCCAGTGCGCCAGCAGAGGCACTATCGCTTGCTCTCTCAGCATACTGCTGCTGCTGCTGCTGCCTTGGAAGTACGGCTGAAGGCACAGCTGTAGTGGTGGCGCGGTACGGCTGAAATCCAGTTGGTGTGCTGTAGCCTCCCTTGCCACTCACACCACCAGCACCAGCACCACCACTCACACCAGCACCAGCACCACCAGCACCACCAGCAGCACCACCACTCACGCTGCTACCACCACCAGCATGGACCACCCGTGACGCATGTTGGTGCATGGTTACCAGCGCTGGCACTCCATCGCTAGGCAACGCAGCGCAGTTGGACGTCTCCACGGTGATGTCAAAGTCTATGGAAGTGCCGGAGGGTGGCGGGCTGGACGTGGTGGCTTTGGCTACCTGGAATGAACGGAACGCCTCACCACCTGGCCGATAACCAGCCTCAATTTGTTGAACTGGAAACGAAAGAGATAAGAAAAGCAGAAGCAGAAGCAAAAGAGGGAAGTTCTGTGAATGAGAATTTTGAAGAAAGCTTGATATTGATCAGGTTCCTGCTACGCTGCGTGTATCCAGGCGCATAGCCCGCATAGGGCACGTGCCCCCCCCCCCCCCCCCCCTAAAATGTTGACCTAAGTTTAGCATGCACATAATGACCATGCATGACATGCACCAGCCATGCTACACATCTGCGGCCGTGCCCTGTGAGTTGAAGTCGAGATGGGGAAATAACCGCGGGAAGCAATTTTGTTTCAAACACTAGGTCGTCCCATACACACTCGTGTGTACGCGCGCACACACACACACGCACACACACACACACACACACACACACACACACACACACACACACACGCGCAAACACACACACACACCTGTCGTGTCCTGTAGAGCCACTACCACTAGGGTCACGTGGGCCCCGGAGAGGCAGCAGAGAGAGAGAGAGAAGGAATACGCCACCCGATGGCACTCCAGATGCGAGACTAGTCGGAACCGGCGAGAGCAGATACACATATGCGAGAACTTGTCCCGTTCTCTGGCCGTTGGTCGGTGGCAGTGCGTTGAACAGCGATGGCGGTTACGTCCCTGGGTTGAGTGGAAACAACGATTGCAGGTGCCGCAGTGAGAATTGCAGCACCTCTGAGCGGTAGTGTCACCGGTGACAACAGCAGCTGGTTCGGTCGGTACTGGGCACAAGGTAGAAGCGGAGCAACGATGCACAGCCAAGCCTCCGTGGCTCCGGAACCAACGATGACACTGAGGGCACTGACATGCACCTCTCTGCTCCGAAACCAGCTTCTGCCGTTCAGCCGTGCACTTGTGCCTAGCGAAGTCACCCTGACGTGCGAAGTGCCGGGCGCATGTGAAACAAGTCACCGGTGCCGGTACGAGGGGATCCGGGGCGTCCGAGGTGTAAGCCAACCTCCAGTCTGGGCGAGAGTCACAGGCCACTCTGTACCAGTCCGCTTCAAGGTCTCGTGAGCGGAGGTCCTTTACAGCGCAGTCTTTCTACCGCCGACGTGGGCCAACACACACACACACACACACACACACACACACATACACACACAAGTGGGCACATGCTCACCGACTCCGCGATCCGTGCGAATGGAGACCTCGTCTAGTTGAAACTTGTCGGAGTTCTTGACAGAGATGCTGTGGAGGTATCCATTCGGTGGCAGCTCATATCCCGGTAGACCATTGTTGTACTTCTCCAGGTCTTCCTTGAACACTTCGTCAAATATATTCAGGCAGTCATAGCGCCATCTATTGTATATGTACATGTACGTGCACACGTTTGTGTGAGTGTGGGTGGGGGGGGGGGGTGTTCGTGTGTGTATGTGTGCGTGCGTGTGCGTGTGTGTGTGCGTGTGTGTGTGTGCGTGTGTGCGTGTGTGAGAGAGAGAGAGACGGACGGACGGACGGACGGACGGATAGACAGAAATAGAGAGACAGAGAAAGACATCCGGAGACATAGAGACAGAAGCAGAGCGAAAGAAACAGAGAGGCAGAGATAGAGAGAGAGAGACAGAAAGAGACAAAGACAGGTGAACAGAGGCACGGAGGCACAGAGATACAGAAAGACACAAAGACAGAAAAAAGACAAAGTCAAACACTAACGGAGAGAGACACACAGAACAGCTCCTTCAGAAATTATTGAACTTCAGTGTTTTTTTGCTAGAAGCCAGGCCAGACGCAATCTGAAAATATCACAATGTTTCTATGCAGGTCCTCTGGGATTGGACTTGGTCTACTTCTTCAAAGTGCTTCGCACTATGGAGTGAGCCATTCGCATTTCACTTACTTTCCCTGTGTGTCGTCAAACTGCTCGAGAAGTGTGACCGACTTGACGCAATCGGACTGACTATCTGGCAGACATTCGGGTGTCTTTGAGTAGCTGAGGTGAAGTGAGGTACCAGGATTGGCATCACTGACCCAAGCTGCACAGATCTGACCAACCAAAGGAAAGGGGAAAAGGAGAGCCTTTAATTAAGCCAGGACTTGAAAATACACTGGAATCACAGCCAGCCTGGAGCCATGTCAAAACTAATATTTTGCTGTCCACTTGGAGCCAGTTACGTATGGACTCACACATGTTTGGGCGGTGTCACCATGGTAACCTTCACAGCAGGATGACACATGCACTGGTAATGACTGGCCCCGGGCCCTCCCGGTCGGGGGACTCTTCCGGTCGGGGGCCCCGCTCCCGGTACAGAAAGAGGCCACACCAGCATGGGATACAAGGTGCCTTCCCATCATACAATCTATTTATCTATGAGCACAGTGCAGCCAGTTTGACCCAGAAGTCGTGTGGTTTTTTTTTACTTTGGACGTCTTCACTTTCATGCCCATATTCCAAACAGTATGTGCATGCAGTTTGTCTGTCCATGCATCAATCCAAAAACTGCCTTTACGCCTGCCTCTCCCCTCCCTACAACACACTATGCATGCATGTGTGCGTGCACGCACACACACACACACACACACACACACATACACACACACACACACACACACACACACACACGTGCGCTCGCACCAACACACAGACACACACTCACACAAACACACAAACACGCACAAATACACGCACACAAAAATGCACACACAAACACACACACACACACACACACACACACACACAAATACACGCGGCGGGCACAAATGCTCGCTCAGGCACACCCACGTACGCACACATGGAACGAACCTGAAAACCGCCTGAACACCTCCGGCTTACCCATCTATATTTTCGCATGCTGGCCCGGAACACGGAGACCGTTCTGCCATCAGCCTGGCTTTTGGAAACACCGGCTTGGAATATGTATCCCAAAGATGGACCTCTAACCGACGACTGTCCACAGAAGGCACCGCCGGAAGCATCAACCGTGCCGTGTTCGTTTGGCAACGAGCTGCTAGACGCCTGTTCATAGCCAGTAGCGAACAGGACGCTTCCCGAGTCTGTAGCCACGGCAACAACGACAACAACAACGCCGACAATGATGATGACGGCAACAGTGGCAGCATCAGCAACAGCAACACCACCAGCAGCACCAGCAGCAACAGAAGCAGCAGCAGCAGCAGCAGCAGCAGCAGCAGCAACAGCAGCACCACCAGCAGCAGCATAGTTCAGTTTGGAGGAGGTACAGCGACAACAACATCAAAGAGACGCACAGTCAAACAAACAAATAAACAAACAGGCAGACAGACAGACAACAATAAATAAATAAACAAACAAACAAACAGAATAATTTTCAAAAGGCAACCCACAGCAACAAGACTCGAGATGGCCACTGACATATTTATCATTTCAACAAGACAATGACAATGGCAATGGCTTCTTCAGAAATGATGTTGACCGGCCAATGGGATACAGCTAACAAGGGGAACGGAATGTGCCAATCAGCAATGTGAGAACATACATCTGAGAGCAAAGAACAGGTGCAGGACAGTACAATTATTATGCAGAGACTGGTGTGTGCATAGTGACAAATGTGACACCATCAGCTGCCAAGCGTGGAGCTGCAACCAGCCAACAACACATGCTGTGAAACATGTTATTTTCGGTGTGACTTCAATTTCGGTGATTTCAGTAGAGAAAACAGGCACCTAGATTTAGATTACACTTAAACATTCACTAGAGTACACACTGTACGAGAAGGGTAGGCTGGTCACCTAATTCTACATTACACCTGACACCTGGCAGGTCCCTGGCACCGAAATTGTAATGCACCAAAAATTGGACTCGGATGGAGAGCCAAGGGTAAATGTATAGTAAAGAAAAGGACCAAGTAACTAGAAGTTACGCTATAATGTCCGCTAACACCACCAGTTACTAAACAATCAGCTCATGCGATAACATTGCACGGCACTGACCGGCGGTACTGACTAAAACTACACGTTTTTACAGTAGTTAGTAGTGGCTGCACGTACACTAAGCACAATATCTACACGACTACAGTCAACTACGCTAATAACGATTGCGGATATAACGACAATTCGCGAATAACGACAGAATGTCCATGCCCAGAGCAACGTCCATTCTACCTGTGTATACAATAAATGAGGAGGCCGAGGGTTTATGACCAATAAAAACTATTATAAAAACCGAGGTCCCCCGAGGTTTTTATAATTAGTTTTTATTGGTCATAAACCCAAGGCCGGAGCATTTATTGTATTTAGAATCAACCAGTAAAAACTCCTACTCAATCTCCAACAACAAAATTAGCGGACAGCTGTTATTTGTGTTGCTATGACAACCCGTGTGCTGGACGAGTATTTGTTGTCATTGGTTCAATTTCTTTTAGTCTTCATAGGCTATCAGATCATTTTCCTTATTCGGTCTATTTATAACCAGTATCTATAATGAGAGTGTGCTCTGTCTCCATGGTTACCGGTGTTCATTTCATAACTATAGCCACTGCTCCTTGTTAGACCTTATCTGGAAGGCCCATTCTTGCATATTCCAACAGCAGCCAAGGGAGCTAGCTCTCTTGGTTATGCGGACTGGGTCCGATCCTAAAAAGCTGTTTTTATGAACTGTTTTTATGAACTGTTTTTATTGGATAGGATATGATTATGTTCAATAAACGAGGTTTGTGTCAATGGGAGATTGACTTGGAGTTTTTACGAGTTGATTCTAAATGCATATAATGAGACTTCGGGCATAATAGTCCATCAGCCAGTGGTGCCAAAGTGAGTCCCCTGTTGCACTTACAAATCGAACACCTGGAACTGACATCAATCGACAGCAAAAGCATCACTGAATCCGACCTGCCTACTTTCCCTGGCGAAACTCTTGCACTCCTTTTGCAGTGCGCCTTGGAAGTTCGACAAATTTCTTCTTCTTCATCAGCCATTACGAGGTTTCCATCCGTTTTATCAGGACATCCAATGCGTCTTCAGTGAAAAACGTGGAGTTTTGTCAACGTTTGGTGTGGTTTTCCGTGGCGATCGACCTAAAATCGCGAAATAAATCGCCGTCGATTTGAGCAGAGGTGAGTTGGCTTGGAGCACGTACAGATTCAAAAAATATGTGTACATGCGCACCGGGAAGAAGATGAAGATGCTCACCATTTTCAAATAACTAATTCAAAAAACTACATGACTATTGTACTGCAATTGTTGTACTTACTTGTTTGCAACTACACTGGTATCAAGTAGATAATCAAGCGAGGTACAGAGGGATTGATGGCTGATCAAAGCCCAAGGGACCAGCCCGAGGGCTTTGATCAGTCATCAAGCCCGACTGTACCTCGCTTGAATATGCTTCAGACGATCCCCAACAATTTTTTTGATTTTGAATTCAATCGCTTTATTCTTTGGGTGATCTCGAGTGTGGTAGATAGTACTTCGAAGTAGTACAACTGTAACTGTACTACTACCTGGTTGCAACATGTTCAAAGCAGCCTTGCCTTTATTTCAACTGTTTGCTGTCAGCATCCAGAGCCATGGCGTTTGCTAGTTGGTCGTAATGGAGAAGAGAACTGCAGGGCATTCACTCTATGTACAACATCCATCGCCGCAGATTCCTTACTTTTAGCTCTCCAGGTTCCTTATTTTTCCAGGGATCAGGACCTTCCCGGGGTGATTCCATTCAGGGTGGAAGCGTAGATCACTTTTGCCAAACAGTAAAAACTACGCTTCAAACCTGCTTGACATGACTCGGGGTGCATACTTCGGAAACCCGAAGGTGGATGATGTTCAATACTAGCTCATTGTAATCTTCCTGAAGGTATGTATTCGGATGCTCAATTAAATAGAACAGTGAAAGAGATGTGTAATGGAACAACACTCTACAAGTAGGCAAACAACAATTTTATTGTAATTTGAATCCAGGCACACATGTAATATGGAAACTGCAATGGTTTACACTGCAAATCTTCTCGATTTGCAAGATTTTTCCCGTAATTCACAAAAATCTGAAAGTTCATTCCTGAAACGCGCATGGCACTGATTGGAGATTGGGTTTAGGTCACAACAATGGCTGTCGATGAAATGCCAAAAATGGTCACTTTGTCGGCTTCCCCCTGCAGAGCGTGCAAGTCGTTTACTCTTTTTATTTGCGGATTCGGTGTACAGGGTACCTAAACTCCCCATTGAGGCCAAAATCAAGTATTCGATTTCTAAGTGCAACAGGGTGCTTGAATTTGACGACTTCTGAGTTCTTGGCTGATGGACTATAAGGACACTTTTCTGATGCCCGGCCGAGTGTGGTTATACGCAAAGTTGACTGTACATACTATGTGATGGGTCCACACTATAACAAGTAGCAGTGTAATGACAAAAACAATAACAGGTGGAAACCCGAGCAGGCGTGTTGCGCTTCTACCACCTTGCACAGCCGTTGGTGTTGTGTTTGTCAGTACACCCACGTTATGGGGCTGTTCCTGTCACGTTTGTCACTACACCACTTTGGGCTTTCATGTTGCTTCGTTTAGCTAGTAATCAGATATTGTCACACCACTTTTCTCCACGTTCCTCTTAGGTATTCTAAAACTGAGTTCCCTTGGTCGTTCAACATTAGTTTGGAAGATGGAATTTACTTGTTAAAACGTTATAATACATCAGTATCCGAGTCGAGTCACGCTCGCATATGCACACACATGCAACCACGCACACACACACACACACACACACACACACACACACACACACACACACACACACACACACACACACACAAAAACACACACACAAAAACACGTACATACACACACGCACAAGAACACACACACACACACACACACACACACCTACACATATACGGCACTATACCTGAGCTTCGGCACCGTGACGAAAGTCCAGCCTGCAATGCCTTAAGCACTTCTCCAGACGTGGACTGAGGTCCGATGGAGAAAGCAGATGGTGCGCCAGTCCAGGAGAGGTTTAGAGTGGGCTGATCCTTAGCTCTCTGACCGCTCTGCGTCTTGTTAACATGAGCGTACTTGCACATGGTTTTACTGACAAAGTCAACCACATGCATTGGCCAGTCCATCAGGTATAGCCTGCTGAGGTTCCTGCCAGGCTCCTGGAAATGGGTGAAGTTGCCCCAGGGCGCGGTTCGGTTGCCACCGGGCGGGGACAGAGGACCCGGGTCGGCGTTGACCGGGGCGGACTTGTTCTCATGGTGATTGTCACTAAGCACGCTGACCACCACTGTGGGAATGTCAGCGCTTCCGCTCGACGGCACCGGGAACAGCAAGCGCCAGTATCGCCCGTCAACGCCGTCCTCAATCTCCACATGCACCCCGGTGGAGCCGGTGATCCAGTTCAGGTCCTTCTCGACGTCCTCTCGCGGCGAGAAGACGTTGAACAGACGCGTGCGTTTGGACGTGCCCGGCAACGACAGGGAAAAGTGCTGCGCTCGGCCGTAGTCCTGTCGGAGCATCTGCACGTTGTCGGCCACGTTCGTGTCAATGACGTGACGTTCCACACGGGCACAGAGGAAGCACGTCTGACAAACTGTTAAATTGTCACCACCTATCACAACAATGAGAAAACAACAAAGACAAAGGGGGAAGAGAATGGGGAAGACAGAGTGAAGGTGTGAGTGAGTGAATGAGTGAGTGAGACCGGGGAGAGAGGGGGGGGGGGAAGAACTAGAGCGAGTGAATGAGTGAATGAGTGAGTGAGGGAGGGAGGGAAGGAGGGAGGGAGAGTGGGAGGGAGGGAGGGAGAGAGGGAGAGGGAACGAGGAAGGGAGGGGGAGAGAGAGAGAGTGGCACATTGCATTTGCTCGACAAACATTTCACTCAACAACCAAACAGAGCGCAGCTCTAAAAGTTTCACAAAGACTCACTCATATTTTGACAGAGCTGTGCTGGGTCCAGGTGGGGCAAGCTACCGTTGCTTTGCCTGGCGTGAAGACGCGCCATGTCCATCCATTGTTGGCACGGTCCGTCCATGCCAGAGTCAGATCGATCGCTATGCACTGCTTCCCCTCCTCCTGCTCCTCCTCCTCCTGCTGCGCTATTGGAGCTCCATGGTTGCTGCACGGACCACGATGGCTGCGCTGCAGAATGGACTTCCCCTGACTGTCCGGGTTGTGCTGACCAGGCAGCACTGTACGGTGTGGAAGCTTTCAGTAGCTTCTCCAGGTCACTGGAACTGGGCGGTTCCGACTTGAAACGGTCGTGTGCAATAGAACTGGACAGCGCACAGCATAGCAAGAACGGTGTGCTCAAATACAAGTAAGAGTCATGTCCCCACACAGCAGTCACATGTTCCCATGCGGAAGTCACTTGACCCCCCCCCCCCCCCCCCACAGCCCAGTAAAGATAGTCCACGCACATACACACATACACACACACACACACACACACACACACACACACACACACACACACACACACACACACACACACACACATTGCGTTCAATACACACAAGATAACTGCCTGAGGAGCAGGAGCACGGTACCATGTCTTACTCACATGTACACAAGCACATACAGCCACAGGCAAATGTGTGTTTTCGTGCATACTGTTAGGTTCACGATCTCACATATGCACACACTCGCACTCACCTTTACACACTCGTACTCACCTCCGCACACTCGTACTCACCTCCGCACACTCGCACTCACCTTTACACACTAGTACTCACCTCCGCACACTCGTACTCACCTCCGCACACTCGCACTCACCTTTACACACTCGTACTCACCTCCGCACACTCGTACTCACATTTACAGACTCGTACTCACCTTCACACTCTCATATTCACCTTTAAACTCTCGTGCTCACCTTTGTTCCCTTTTCTAACCGTTTCTTCCGTTGGCCTGGGTAGCTGAATTCACGCTCCAGTACATTCATTTCCATAGTTACCCAGGCCCTTGATAAGCTCTTACTTTCACATTTCACTCTCTATCTCTATCCGTCGAACCTTCAAGTTGAACCTCTGACCTTCGTGCTCTGAGTGACCGAATCGTGTGATCCTGTGATCCTTACAATACCGTCAACTTTGCGTATAACAACTCTCGGCGGGGCATCAGAAAAGTGTCCTTATTTGCAAAGTGTCCTTATACCCGAAGTCTCATTATATGACTGTGTTACAGTGGGATGGGACTTTGCTCTGGGCATGGACATTCTGTCGTTATTCGCGAATTGTCGTTATATCCGCAGTCGTTATTAGCCAAGTTGACTGTACATGTATGGTATACAGAGTAAGGCATGCATGGATGTATGGTATACAGAGTAGGGCATGCATGGATGTATGGTATACAGAGTAGGGAATGCATGGATGTATGGTATACAGAGTAGGGCATGCATGGATGTATGGTATACAGAGTAGGGCATGCATGGATGTATGGTATACAGAGTAGGGAATGCATGGATGTATGGTATACAGAGTAGGGCATGCATGGATGTATGGTATACAGAGTAGGGCATGCATGGATGTATGGTATACAGAGTAGGGCATGCATGGATGTATGGTATACAGAGTAGGGCATGCATGGATGTATGGTATACAGAGTAGGGCATGCATGGATGTATGGTATACAGAGTAGGGAATGCATGGATGTATGGTATACAGAGTAGGGCATGCATGGATGTATGGTATACAGAGTAGGGCATGCATGGATGTATGGTATACAGAGTAGGGAATGCATGGATGTATGGTATACAGAGTAGGGCATGCATGGATGTATGGTATACAGAGTAGGGAATGCATGGATGTATGGTATACAGAGTAGGGAATGCATGGATGTATGGTATACAGAGTAGGGAATGCATGGATGTATGGTATACAGAGTAGGGAATGCATGGATGTATGGTATACAGAGTAGGGCATGCATGGATGTATGGTATACAGAGTAGGGCATGCATGGATGTATGGTATACAGAGTAGGGCATGCATGGATGTATGGTATACAGAGTAGGGAATGCATGGATGTATGGTATACAGAGTAGGGCATGCATGGATGTATGGTATACAGAGTAGGGAATGCATGGATGTATGGTATACAGAGTAGGGCATGCATGGATGTATGGTATACAGAGTAGGGCATGCATGGATGTATGGTATACAGAGTAGGGCATGCATGGATGTATGGTATACAGAGTAGGGCATGCATGGATGTATGGTATACAGAGTAGGGAATGCATGGATGTATGGTATACAGAGTAGGGAATGCATGGATGTATGGTATACAGAGTAGGGAATGCATGGATGTATGGTATACAGAGTAGGGAATGCATGGATGTATGGTATACAGAGTAGGGCATGCATGGATGTATGGTATACAGAGTAGGGCATGCATGGATGTATGGTATACAGAGTAGGGCATGCATGGATGTATGGTATACAGAGTAGGGAATGCATGGATGTATGGTATACAGAGTAGGGCATGCATGGATGTATGGTATACAGAGTAGGGCATGCATGGATGTATGGTATACAGAGTAGGGAATGCATGGATGTATGGTATACAGAGTAGGGCATGCATGGATGTATGGTATACAGAGTAGGGCATGCATGGATGTATGGTATACAGAGTAGGGAATGCATGGATGTATGGTATACAGAGTAGGGCATGCATGGATGTATGGTATACAGAGTAGGGAATGCATGGATGTATGGTATACAGAGTAGGGAATGCATGGATGTATGGTATACAGAGTAGGGAATGCATGGATGTATGGTATACAGAGTAGGGAATGCATGGATGTATGGTATACAGAGTAGGGCATGCATGGATGTATGGTATACAGAGTAGGGCATGCATGGATGTATGGTATACAGAGTAGGGCATGCATGGATGTATGGTATACAGAGTAGGGAATGCATGGATGTATGGTATACAGAGTAGGGCATGCATGGATGTATGGTATACAGAGTAGGGAATGCATGGATGTATGGTATACAGAGTAGGGAATGCATGGATGTATGGTATACAGAGTAGGGCATGCATGGATGTATGGTATACAGAGTAGGGCATGCATGGATGTATGGTATACAGAGTAGGGCATGCATGGATGTATGGTATACAGAGTAGGGAATGCATGGATGTATGGTATACAGAGTAGGGAATGCATGGATGTATGGTATACAGAGTAGGGAATGCATGGATGTATGGTATACAGAGTAGGGAATGCATGGATGTATGGTATACAGAGTAGGGCATGCATGGATGTATGGTATACAGAGTAGGGCATGCATGGATGTATGGTATACAGAGTAGGGCATGCATGGATGTATGGTATACAGAGTAGGGAATGCATGGATGTATGGTATACAGAGTAGGGCATGCATGGATGTATGGTATACAGAGTAGGGAATGCATGGATGTATGGTATACAGAGTAGGGCATGCATGGATGTATGGTATACAGAGTAGGGCATGCATGGATGTATGGTATACAGAGTAGGGCATGCATGGATGTATGGTATACAGAGTAGGGCATGCATGGATGTATGGTATACAGAGTAGGGAATGCATGGATGTATGGTATACAGAGTAGGGAATGCATGGATGTATGGTATACAGAGTAGGGAATGCATGGATGTATGGTATACAGAGTAGGGAATGCATGGATGTATGGTATACAGAGTAGGGCATGCATGGATGTATGGTATACAGAGTAGGGAATGCATGGATGTATGGTATACAGAGTAGGGCATGCATGGATGTATGGTATACAGAGTAGGGAATGCATGGATGTATGGTATACAGAGTAGGGCATGCATGGATGTATGGTATACAGAGTAGGGCATGCATGGATGTATGGTATACAGAGTAGGGAATGCATGGATGTATGGTATACAGAGTAGGGAATGCATGGATGTATGGTATACAGAGTAGGGAATGCATGGATGTATGGTATACAGAGTAGGGAATGCATGGATGTATGGTATACAGAGTAGGGAATGCATGGATGTATGGTATACAGAGTAGGGCATGCATGGATGTATGGTATACAGAGTAGGGCATGCATGGATGTATGGTATACAGAGTAGGGCATGCATGGATGTATGGTATACAGAGTAGGGAATGCATGGATGTATGGTATACAGAGTAGGGCATGCATGGATGTATGGTATACAGAGTAGGGAATGCATGGATGTATGGTATACAGAGTAGGGCATGCATGGATGTATGGTATACAGAGTAGGGCATGCATGGATGTATGGTATACAGAGTAGGGCATGCATGGATGTATGGTATACAGAGTAGGGAATGCATGGATGTATGGTATACAGAGTAGGGAATGCATGGATGTATGGTATACAGAGTAGGGAATGCATGGATGTATGGTATACAGAGTAGGGAATGCATGGATGTATGGTATACAGAGTAGGGAATGCATGGATGTATGGTATACAGAGTAGGGCATGCATGGATGTATGGTATACAGAGTAGGGCATGCATGGATGTATGGTATACAGAGTAGGGCATGCATGGATGTATGGTATACAGAGTAGGGAATGCATGGATGTATGGTATACAGAGTAGGGCATGCATGGATGTATGGTATACAGAGTAGGGCATGCATGGATGTATGGTATACAGAGTAGGGCATGCATGGATGTATGGTATACAGAGTAGGGCATGCATGGATGTATGGTATACAGAGTAGGGCATGCATGGATGTATGGTATACAGAGTAGGGCATGCATGGATGTATGGTATACAGAGTAGGGAATGCATGGATGTATGGTATACAGAGTAGGGAATGCATGGATGTATGGTATACAGAGTAGGGCATGCATGGATGTATGGTATACAGAGTAGGGCATGCATGGATGTATGGTATACAGAGTAGGGCATGCATGGATGTATGGTATACAGAGTAGGGAATGCATGGATGTATGGTATACAGAGTAGGGAATGCATGGATGTATGGTATACAGAGTAGGGAATGCATGGATGTATGGTATACAGAGTAGGGCATGCATGGATGTATGGTATACAGAGTAGGGCATGCATGGATGTATGGTATACAGAGTAGGGCATGCATGGATGTATGGTATACAGAGTAGGGCATGCATGGATGTATGGTATACAGAGTAGGGCATGCATGGATGTATGGTGTACAGCGTAGGGAATGCATGGATGTATGGTGTACAGCGTAGGGAATGCATGGATGTATGGTGTACAGCGTAGGGAATGCATGGATGTATGGTATACATGGTATACAGAGTATATAGCTACATGGTTATATACTCTTAATGGTACACAGAAGACACTTGAACTTTGAGTATGACCCGTGAGGTCACCAACTAATCCTGCTGATGTGAGCTTGCACCGAGAGTTATTGCTTACATGTCTTTTGGGAAGGGTAGCCATCCAGAAACCAGCCACTTGGTCTTCTGTTCGGCGACGTTGTCACCATCGTTGTAAGGTGATGTGTGGTAAGGACTTGCTGTCGCCGTTACCTGTGACCTGCCACCACCATCTCCTCCTGATCCGTAGGGCGATGTGTTCCAACTCTGGGTGGGTCCCCCCGGTCCTTGGGTGTACCCTCCCGGTCCTTGGGTGGGTCCTCCCGGTCCTTGGGTGGGTCCTCCCGGTCCTTGGGTGGGTCCTCCCGGTCCTTGGGTGGGTCCTCCCGGTCCTTGGGTGTGTCCTTGCGTGTGTCCTCCCGGTCTTTGGGTGTGTCCTCCCGGTCTTTGGGTGGATCCTCCCGGTCCTTGAGTGTGTCCTCCCGGTCCTTGGGTGAATCCTCCCGGTCCTTGGGTGTGTCCTCCCGGTCCTTGGGTGTGTCCTCCCGATCCTTGGGTGTGTCCTCCGGGTCCTTGGGTGTGTCCTCCCGGTCCTTGGGTGTGTCCTCCCGGTCCTTGGGTGGATCCTCCCGGTCCTTGGGTGGATCCTCCCGGTCTTTGGGTGAATCCGTTCGGCCCTGGAGTAGTTTGTCCCTTTCCAGAGTCACCCGTATGAGAATACCCGGGATAGGATGTGGAGTACGGGTATTCGTTGTTGTTCCAGGTAGACGGAACGTAACGTATCGTTGCATTGACGAATGTTTCGATCAGCAACACGTCCGCAGCGGAAAGATTGAATGCTAGCAGACCCACGTACAGCAGATCGGCCTGGTGTGTAAAATTGAAACCGACAATCGTACACACGCCCAGCAGGTCCATTTGCTGCTCCGTGTGTTTGCTTAGCGTCGGTGCCGGACACTTATGCTCATCGTCACTGCTGCTGCTGCCGCCGTCGCCACCGCCGCTTCCGCTGCTATGGCTGCTGCCCTGGCTGCTTGGTGTACCGTAGGGCTGTGTTGGTCTTGGCTGTCGCTTGGTGCTTTGCGTTGCTGGACCTGGCTGTTTCTGGGTGCTGTGTCCCGGTCCTGCTTGGGTGTTAGGTCCGTGGTTGCCCGGGGAGGTGGCCGTCCCCCGGCTGCTCGACCTGCCACTCTCGCCGGAGTGAGGTCCTTGGCTTGCCCGCTGGGAGAACTGCTGCGGCAGGAACGGACGCAGCCATGCCGGCGGTACCAGCTCGGGCACTTTCAGCGAGAAGAATATTGTCTGCTGTGTGCTGACGTCGTGGAAGGAGACCCGCTGTACGAGCGACACACAGTGACATTGCAGAAGACAAAGATTACAGCCAGAACGAAACTGATAGGGGGGGGGGGGGGGTCATCGGAACCAAACATTTGTGATTTTAACGCCATTTTGTTCCGCCCTTTTACGCTGTGCTACAACATAAATGTGAAATTATCACACAGATAAAAAGGTGGCGCTCGCACTTTGAAGGGTGGCGCCCGCACTTTGAAGGGTGGCACTCACACTTTGAAGGGTGGCGCTCGCACTTTGAAGGGTGGCGCTCGCACTTTGAAGGGTGGCGCTCGCACTTTGAAGGGTGGCGCTCGCACTTTGAAGGGTGGCGCTCGCACTTTGAAGGGTGGCGCTCGCACTTTGAAGGGTGGCGCCCGCACTTTAAAGGGTGGCGCTCGCACTCTGAAGGGTGGCGCTCGCACTCTGAAGGGTGGCGCTCGCACTCTGAAGGGTGGCGCTCGCACTCTGAAGGGTGGCGCTCGCACTCTGAAGGGTGGCGCTCGCACTTTGAAGGGTGGCGCTCGCACTTTGAAGGGTGGCACTCGCACTTTGAAGGGTGGCGCTCGCACTTTGAAGGGTGGCGCTCGCACTTTGAAGGGTGGCGCTCGCACTTTGAAGGGTGGCGCTCGCACTTTGAAGGGTGGCGCTCGCACGTTGAAGGGTGGCGCTCGCACTTTGAAGGGTGGCGCTCGCACTTTGAAGGGTGGCGCTCGCACTTTGAAGGGTGGCCCCCGCACTTTGAAGGGTGGCGCTCGCACTTTGAAGGGTGGCGCTCGCACTCTGAAGGGTGGCGCTCGCACTTTGAAGGGTGGCGCTCGCACGTTGAAGGGTGGCGCTCGCACTTTGAAGGGTGGCGCTCGCACTTTGAAGGGTGGCGCTCGCACTTTGAAGGGTGGCGCCCGCACTTTGAAGGGTGGCGCTCGCACTTTGAAGGGTGGCGCTCGCACTCTGAAGGGTGGCGCTCGCACTTTGAAGGGTGGCGCTCGCACTTTGAAGGGTGGCGCTCGCACTTTGAAGGGTGGCGCATCCATTCTGAAAGGGGGGGGGGCGGTCAAAAAGTGGAGGAGGGCGCAGCGCCCCGCTGTGTCGCTTTGCCGAGAACCCTGACAAGTTGCGTGTGTTCCCTCCTAGATTGTACGTGTGGGTGAGCTCTGGTTGGCGATACCCGGCCACGCTCCAATGAATGTCTGCTACAGGACACTATACTGTAAGTGAACAAATATTCTGCGCATATTTATTTTCAGCTATTTTCGGCCTGGTCATATTTGGCAGAAAATTTGTTGCAGCCGAAATTTTGTTTTTCAAGGTTCAGTGCGACAGTGTATACAATACAGGCAGCAGCAATACAGGCCGAAAATTTGTTCCAGCCAAAATGTGTTTTAGCCCTGGGAGGCCGAATTTTGAATGGGCCGAAAATGTGTAGACTTACAGTGCACGGTTTAGGTAAGGCGAGACCAAAATAAAATCGAGATTCCCGGGCAGCACCCATGTCAAATTGGTGCGGGCGGGCGAATTTTATTTTTTATTTTTTTTCCCATGTATGTACATAACTATAATATATATTATAATATGTGCATGCCATGTTGAACTTTTTAACAGCATTTTCCGGTAATTTTTATTCAATTTTTTTACAGACAACAGGTACACGGTTTACCCGTTCAGATTTTCTATATTTCGGCCAACGATGGCCCTGATCTGTACATCTGGGAGTCATCCAAGCTCGGGTTTGTGTGACTCCACGTCACAGATCCTCTACTCACTGTACACTGTACATGTATGAAATGTTTTAAAAAAATTGGCTTTGGCTCGATTTTGGTGCGGGAGGGCCCGGGAATCTCCTTTTTTTTGGTCCCGTCTAAGCAGAACATGTTATGGAGACCATGCAGTCCCATATAACACTCACATAGGTTAAATGTTTGCAAAAGATCGCCGCCTCGCAGTACAGTAAAACTTCAGAGATCCGGATGCCCCTTATCCGGGAACATCCGTATACCGGGTATCTTCCTGACCCATCTAGAGACACAAAAATTGGCTTTTCAACGAAGAAATTCATTCAGAAAGTGGTGGACATCACGCAACTGCATTGTAAAATTAATAAAAAGGGGGGGGGTTGTCAAGTGACAACCGCTCCATTCAGTTGCTATTGACTCGGAGTGAACAGCAACTGAATACAGCGGTTGTCAGTCAGCGAAGAAAGATCCCAAAAACTATTGATTGGCTTAATATGTTCACCTGCATGCAGTAAATTTGCATCAATAGCAAGTACAGTCAGACGTCGCTTATCCGGTCCTCTTTTATCCGCATCCCTCGCCATGCGGAAGAAAATAGCTGGTTACAGATTTACAGTACGCATAGTGCAGCCAACATAACCGGTGTTCGGTTATCCGGTTCCCTCGCCTATCCGGATATTTTTTTGTGGAAAACGAACGTGTGCGGTTAAGCGAGATCTGACTGCATACATAAATCAATAGACCTTAGTTACGGGCAATTCCTAGTTACGGGGGGGGGGGGGCGTTTGGTTGGTTTGGGTTGGTTTTTATTATTTCAGTTCGTTGCCTCAACAGTACAACACGGTACAAATATCAAGAGGGACGAACGACAAGAGAAAGTAAAACAGAGCAGAAAGGAAGATGCAACTGGAAGGAAAGAAAAAACAGAGAAGGAATATGGACTGGGCGGATTCATGAACTGTTACTAGAGGGCGGTGCTTGGACCCGACCTGCCCAGACATAGGGAGTTGTCAGTTTGACGCACCTGAGTGTCGGTGAGCTGTCCGTGCGCGAGAACGAGTTTCTGCATGCTTGCCACGGCCTTGCGCGACTGCAGCGGAGTCACCGTCGTGTTCCTCATGTAGGCACGCACTCGCACCGTGCCATCGCGCACTCGCCCGATCTGGATCACCTCCAGGTAGAGCGCCTGACCTGTTTGGCGCACAATAACATTGCAATGAAGCACACACGTGTGCGCGCACATACACACGCACACACACACACACACGCACACAAACACACATGCAGACACATACACACACACGTGGGCACACATGCACGCACACAAACACACACACACACACATACACACACACACACGCACACACACACACACACACACACACACACAAAAACACACACACACACAAACACACACACACACGCAAACATACACACACACACACACACAGACACATACACACACACGTGCACACACACACACACATACACACATACACACACGCACACACACAAACACACACACACACACAAACACACACACATGAAAAATCTGCTCTGGCACATACATGTACATGTACACAAAACGAATCGTGTGCCACAAACACTCCATGACGTATGGACAGCATAGCACCACCACCACCATCATGTGCAAAGGCAGGATATTGAAGTTATTATACTTTCCAACGGCTATTAGAGAGTCGGAAAGCACGTGTCTTCGTCTATTTTTAGTTTTTACTAAATACCACAGAACCATCAGATACTGCCGGGGGAGAGGGGGTGGGGTGGCATATCGGATTGAAGTGGAGGCGGGCCAAAGTAACTCCTCCCACCAAGGGTCTCGGATTCATCGTTACTCATCTGCACAGGCAAGAAAGAGACAGAAATGTGTGCATCGAATAGGAATGTTGGGGGGAGATTTGTGCGCAGCCATGACAATCGTGGAGGCCTAGTGCGCATCTGCGCAAAGCAGACTTCGCAGTGGCCAACTTTGCCATTGTCCACCACTGGCTGTGCTACTCTGTGTTATTCTGTGGGTTCTGTCAACTTCTGAATGGGTGGAGTACAGTACAACAAACCAGACAGGCACAGTGGGTTGGTCAAAGACCATGATTAAGATACGAGAGGTACCTGGTTCAAGTCCTTCCTGGGAGCGGTTTTTCCAGCCGTGCTGCAACTCACAGTCAACTGGGAACTTGTGGCCAGGCACAAGGGGTACACACACCCCTAAAAGGGGGACCAGCTACGCCCCTCAAGGGCATCCGGTTTGGGCAGGGTTTACTGTACAAGGACTGCTGTTCAGTGCACCATGCCGGTGTGTTCACATCCACCCAAAGACATGTCGAGCAGGAGAACAATAAGGAGGTTTCGCTCTACGGAATTCCGTGTGAAAATAACGTAGGAACTGCGCGGAATTTTCATACGTAAAGATCAGCGCTGAGGGGTTTTCGCTCTACGTGATTTCTCCACGACTGCTAAACATGCAGTGTTGCTTTGGAGACGCGTTGGCTGCATGCACCCACCGCATGCACCACGAACCGAAACCGCGTTTTCCATCGTACTTTGCACGTGGTGTACGGTGTGTGTACCACATGTTTTGCGCGGCTTGAACTTTGCCATGGATAAATCTGGAAATGCGAAAATAATTATTTCAAAAAGTCCTACGGAGGCCCCAACGTAGGAAACAGCTTTCCTACAGAAATCCGTAGAGAGATTTACGTATGAAAGTTGCCCCCGCTCCCCGGCGTGTACGACATACGGATTTCAATACGTAATTACGTAGAGCGAAACCTCCCTAATATTACTACGTTCAGAGATGGAAAAGGGCAGTTCAGGCGACCAGGAAAACAGCATGGTCAAGAGAAAGAGCCACAGAGTGCAACATGTATGGTACAAGATCACATGTGACCAAATCATGACATCATATGGGCACAGCCCCAAGTGGACTTTATTGCCAGCAAGACTGCTATACTACAATCGGGCAGCTCTGGCGCCATGGACGGTGCCTTTCACTCAATGCCCGCCGGGCCTGGTACATGAGTATGATCCAGTCTGTGCTCTGCTATGCCTCAAACTGTTTCTTTCCCGCTCTATCCAAACTGCTGCTGCATCGACTGCTACGCATTGCTAAGTCTGGCATACGAGCCATCTTCCAACTCCCCAGAAGGACCCCCACTGCTCCCCTATTTGCCAGACTATCAATGCCTCAGCTCCACCAGCTGTATGTGCAACGTCTGCTTCTCTTCGTCTTCCGCTGCCTTCATGGCAGAGCCAGCTCACTGTTCCAATCCTACTACTCCCTCATTGCCACGGATGTGGACAGAAGTTGTGTCACGCGTGGTCAGGTCAGCCAGCTGCTCAGAGTGCCGTTCCTACCTGGTCCCTCAGGCCGTAGCTCTATCGCCTTTGTTGGCAGTACCACATGGAACTCTCTCCCTGCTGATATTCGTGCTTGCGACGTACGCCACACGTTTCAAGCATTGCTGTCTGGCTATGACCTTATCTCCCTCCTCAACTAGCTCTCCGATGTTGTGCCTACTATGTCTTCTTCACAGATTCTGCCTGAACAAATGCTCATCAATTATGTTCTTGTCCTCTATCCTAGTCCAAATTCTGCCTTGCCCATGCATGACTCTCATGAAATGCCCGTACTAAATAGTCTATAGAACAAGAACATTGGATATCATACTTCTCTCATCAACTATGATAATACCCATTTCATACCCCCCCCTTCATAAAATTAATACCTACTGTTTTCTTTCCTTTCATTTCATCTTCTTTTCCGTTCCTTTCTTCTTCATACAAATTTTAAACATTTTCATCATATTGTGAGAGCCGTGGGCCAATAGCCCCGGTGAGAAGGCAGTCTTGCCTGTTCATATGGTGAAGTAAAATAAAGAAACAACAACAACAACAACAACAACAACAACAACAACAACAACAACAACAACAGTTGAGTAGGAGTAGGAAGCAGATTTTGGCGCTCCCAGTTTTTCCCTAGATTTCTGCGGATTGAGGCTTACCCGGGGTACCAGACCCCAACCATGGAGCGCAACATTAGTACTGCTGCCCGAAATGGCGAGCCACGATGGAAATCACTTACCCGAGAAGACATGAAGGCCAACACCGTAGTTTTCACCAGTCACGCCGGTATCAAGACAGTGGATGTAGCCGAGGCCCTTGTTACCCAAGGGTACACGGACGTCGCCTCCGTCCAGATCACCAATTCCAACCTCACAAAGGTAACGTTATTATCTGCTACGCAGACTGACGCACTGCTGGGGCACGGGTTTTTTATCGGCGACAGCCATTTCTCTGTACGCCCTGCATTCACCAAACAACTACAACTCCATATCTTTGATGTCCCGATCTGGATCGAGAATACCGTTATCTGCAGTGCTTTGGCTGCATTTGGCCAGATCCAGGGAGACATCCGCCATGGTCAAATTCAAACCCCGTCGGGGATTACTGTAGGGACAGGTATGCGATTCGCCACCATCGAGCTGAAGGAGGGATGTCGGCAAGTTCCGTCATTTGTCCGCACAGCCGACCAGCACCAGTTTCGTGTCCGTCACGAGGACCAGAGGGCCACCTGCAGGATTTGCATGGGGGAGCACTTTGCTCGATCGTGTCCGAGCAAGCGGCCCACGAACAAACCACCCACAAATATACAGAGCACCAATTCGGCTGCACTCCCTGGATCACAACTGAGCTCGGGTACAAGTGCGCCCGATACAGGAGGTAGTGAGGCTGTTGTGAGTGCTAGTTCAGGTAGTAGCTGTACAAACACGGACCCCAGCGCGGAGCCAGAGAGCTCAAATCAATCCACCAGCTCAGCACGCACGCGCACAGAGCCCAAGGGTTCACACTCGTACGCCAGCGCAGCTCAACAGGGAGCCCGCGCACAGTTCAACTGTACGCACGGGGCGGCCGAACAGGTGAGCACTGCACCCGACGGATCCCCTGCTGGTACTAGTACTAGTAGCAAGGATGCAACACAGAAAACCGCTGAAATGAACAGCGCCAGTGCGTCTGAGAACACAACCAGCGACGGGGAATCCAAGGAAATACAGAGCAATACTCCATCCTCTGTCGACCAAACTGAGGTAGCTGAGAGTTCCAGCTTGCAGGTAATCGCTCCCAGTACACCCCCAATGTCCGGCACCCCTCCGCCTACAGGCACTGGGGCAGGCCACGACGACGGGGCCACCAAGGTTGCCTCTGACGATGCGGATTGGATACCCAGCGGTCCTCGTCGTCGCCGACACAGCCACGGCCATTCGACCATGGAGGAGAAAGCCAAGGCCGATGGGACATGGCCCTCCCCTCAGAGGAAACACCCGAAATACTGAGTCCAGATAAGTTTCAACAACTAGCCAAAAGACAAAAAAACATAAAAAATAAAAATAAAATTCCCCCAAAAAAAACAATACCAATGTCAGTGAATTTGAACTTTCTCAGCACCAACGTGCGTTGCATATTCAACAAAATGGACGAGTTACTTACCTTTACCCGTTCGTGCTCTGAATCTCAGAACGAACTATCAGTCATTGCAGTCCAGGAAACCTGGGCTGACACATCAGACCCTGACAGTCTCTATGCAATCCCAGGCTACAAGCTGATCAGAGCTGACAGACAGGACTATGGTGGTGGTGTTGCCTTGTACATAGAGGAACGTTTCAACACAAGGGTACTGACAATACCAATGACAGCAGCAGAATGCATATGGACGAGAATATCCACAGGTAACCTTTCCCTCGTTGTTGCAAACATTTACCGACCACCCCGTAGCGATGGCACCCTCTTCTGTGCGGAACTGGAAAGAAGCATCAAAACCGCTAGAGCCGAAGGTGACGACCTCCTACTACTTGGAGACTTCAATGCCAAGAACAGTGCGTGGCTCACCACAGACAGAACAGATCGCCTTGGGGACGACATACAAACTCTGCTACACACATACGGCCTCACACAACATGTCAGATTCCCTACTTACATCCACCGACAAACACCTCTCTCATGTCTAGACCTTGTTATCTCCTCACTCCACACCAATGATATTCATATCCAATCACTTCCACCATTTGGCGCATCCGATCACACTACTATCAGTGGCCACATCAATAATCAACTGCCCCCCATAATTAACAACTCCCCTCCAAGATCCAGAAGCACCACATTCTGGTCATGGACAGACAGCACTATCCACCTTCTTCGAGAAGCCCTTTCACGCACAAATCTCAACCACCATCCAAACCAACACGACCCATGCCCAGTTGACACCTTCTGGCGATCCTGGCGCGACAATGTCCTGAGCATCGCCCAAGAACACTGCCAAGTTACTCGCACTCACCCCCCTTGGGACAGGAAGAACGTGCCAGCACGACCATGGATATCAAAGGGCCTCTTGAAAGAGATCAAGGATAAGCACAGAAAACACAGAATATACCTTCACTCACGCTCGCCTGACGACTGGAACACGTTCACTGCCCAAAGAAACCGTGTCACCTCCCTCCTGCGTCGTGCTAAATCGGATTTCGTAACCAACTCAACAGCCTCCTCTACTTCCCTACACCGCCTCATGAAGCACCTAACTACAGCTACAAAACAACGCATACCCGAACTCGTCAGCCAAGCAACTCCTGCAACGACACCAGCACAAAAAGCCGCTGCCCTCAACGAATTCTTCATTTCACAGAGCAAGCTGTCCGTGGCCAATGCGGATGAGCAAACTCCAGCCATCAACACCACCCCTGACATCCTCAGTCCCCTTCAAGAAATCTCGACTTCCCAAGCTGAGGTCGAAAAACTCCTCCGCGGAGTTGATACCAACAAAAGCCCCGGGTTTGACTCTATTCCAAACCGCCTACTCAAAGAAGCGGCGAAGGAACTTGCACCGTCGTTATCGTCCCTCTTTAATCTATCGTTCCAAACCGGAGAAATCCCACGGGAGTGGAAAGATGCCACCATTACTCCAGTACCCAAGCCGGGTGACCCAACTCAACCAACAAATTATAGACCCATCTCTCTCTTGAGCACTACATCAAAAATCCAAGAAAAAATTGCACATCAACTCCTCTACAAGCACATCACACCCCACCTGCCCAACCAGCAGTCCGGATTCCGCGAGAAAGACGGCACTGAGCAGCAGCTCGCCCGTCTCGTCCATACCCTTTCCACTGCGAGAGACGACGGGAAACACGTCAATGCCTGCTTTTTCGACCTAAGCAAGGCCTTCGATCGTGTGTGGCATGCAGGCCTTCTAGCAAAACTCTCCCACTATGGTGTCCAGGGCAACGCCCTGGAGTGGTTCCGACGGTACCTGTTGGGGCGTCGGCAAAGGGTCCAGGTGGATGGCGACCTATCGCCTTTCCTCGAGATCCCTGCCGGCGTCCCTCAGGGATCTGTTCTTGGGCCGCTTCTATTCCTCGTCTACACCATTGACCTTCCACACGCATGTGCGAATCCCAGCACCACCTGTAGCCAGTTTGCAGATGACACCGCTCTGATTTCCATAGCGAGAACTCTTCAAGACTGCACCCGAAACCTACAACAGAGTGTCACAGCAGCTGGAGACTGGCTTCAAAAATGGCACCTGCTGGTTAACACAAAGAAAACAGTCATCCTCCCGTTCTACCACAATAACCGCCCCCCTGAACAGCTACCCCAGATCACCCTCAGGAATAGTCCGCTTACCGTAGCACAAAAACACAAACACCTCGGAATAATCTTTCAGCATGACCTCCGTTGGACGGAGCATGTTGAATACATAGTCAAAAAATCACTCAAGTCTTTCAATATTCTTTTTAGACTAAGGTCTACACTCACCAGTGATTCTTTATCTCACATCTATCAGACATACATACTACCTATATTCTCATATGCGAGCAATGCTCTCACACCGTTGTCCCACACTTCCCTTGACAGGCTAGAACGACTCCAGCGGAAAGCCGCCAGAATATGTCTCCACCTTCCCCTTTACACACACTTAGAACACTCCCACCTTTTGCATCGCATCAAATGGCCAACATTATTTTCACGCTTTAAAGTTAAACATATACTCTTCGCGCATTCTCTGCACCACAATTATGCCCCACCACATATACTCTCGCTGCATACTGCTAGCAACGTGCAACCTTCGTATAATTTACGTCGCTCTCGTACTTGGCACTTGCCAACTCCTCGGACTGACCGCTGTCTCCATTCTCCCCTGTACAAGGCCCTTCATTACTTTAATTGCCTGCCCACCCAGCTTCGCGAAATCCCTTCTCGTACTCCCTTCAAATCCGAGATATCCCTGCTGTTGCACAACTCTGTATGCTCGTGTAGCGACCACCCCTGCCCTTACACTTAAGTACGCAACTCTGTATGCTCGTGTGGCGACCACCCCTGCCCGTACACTTAAGTAGTCATTAACCCCTAGGCCCTGCCCACCCAATTCTTCCTCACTCTTTCTCCTTTCCTACACTATTATCTCTTATTGGCCACTGGCTATCGTGAGAATAAAGATTTGAAACAACAACAACAACAACAACAACAACAACAACAACAACAACAACAACAACAACAGCTGGTCCCAATTTTAGGGGGGGGGGGGGTGCACGGCCGCATACGTGTAGGATGACTGGTGCATGTCATTCATGGTCAATATGTGCATGCTAAACCTAGGTCGAAATTTTTAGAGGGGGGGGGTGCACGTGCCCCCCCCCCCCCCCCCCCCGTGCCCTATGTAGGCTATGGGCCTGCATCATAACACAACACATGGTGACAATATGAAGAAGAAAAACACCCGCACCTTTCTTGAGGTAGACGCGGTGCGACCAACCGTTGCCGGCGTTACGCAGCAGCTCCCCGACCTCGTACCCGTGCGTGGCGTAGCGCAGCAAGTACACACGACCTTTGCCGCTGGCCAGGAACTGAAAGTGGCTTGAGTGAGGCGCTATGAAATAGCCAGACAGGCGCAGGGTGAACGTGTCCTACACAGAGGGTAGAACCACAAACAGCACATTGCGCAATGACGTGTAACTTGTACCGGGAAAACCCCCCCCACCTAGCTATCTGGGCAAGGTCCTCCGGGGGTGTTGAACAGTGCATTGCTGATCTACGGTCATCCGGGGGCGTTGAACATGCATTGATGGTCTATGGTCATCCGGGGGCGTTGAACAGTGCATTGCTGATCTATGGTCTTCTGGGGGTGTTGAACAGTGCATTGCTGATCAGTGTACTCACCTGCATTACTCATGTAAAACATATTTTCGCAATGTGCAATGGGTTGATACAACAACCACTGTTGTGTTCACTACTAACACCTCAAAAGTTTCAGGATCGCACAGACGCCACAAGACAAAAGGTCACGTAATTCTTTACGGACTATAATGAATGAACAGTAGAATACATTGAGAAGAAGAGACTGGAAAAATACGAACTACATCGGAAAGAGAACTCTAGAACACTAAAGAAAACAAACCACAGCATCAAGGAAAAGAACAACGCATGAGGGGTAAAGCGCTGGCCAGCCACAACGTGCGTCCAACTTTGGCATGAGCGTACAGAAGAGCGTACAGCGCTCGGAAAGCGGAAGCTAAATTTGGCGGCAAAGCGACAGCAATAGTACGGCGCGCGGCACATAAGCAGTACGAGGCGAGGCACGTATACGCGTGTGCGGCAAACATTACACACCATGTACCATATATGCATGAACAGCGCGGGGCGCATACTAACTCATTCAACATCAGTGCGCGGCGCAGGCATCTAGCTAGCTGGCGCAAGCATGATCATAATTGCATGCCATCACGCAATCAGCGCACATAAATCGCGCATCAAATAAATAAGTAATCAAACACAAATCAACACATCAACTAAATAAATCAACGAGCTAGCAAGAACACAATTCAAAAATGCAACGAAGAAATAATTACTATTCTAGTCGGTTATTCGCATGGGACCAAGCGCAATGTCCAAGCTGATGAACTGTGATTGCACAAGGTAAGCCCAAGCTCCTGAGCTAACCGTTCTGGTGAGCAGTCTTCTTCGTGCTGCAAACACACACTACACAGTGTGTCGTATCTCGTAACAAGTACTGTACCAAATCACAACGAACACTAACAATACGCAATAGTAAACAATAATCAAAAGCACTACGCAAAAAAGCAAAGCAAGCAGCACCTAGCCAGGGAGACAAGCAGGAGTCACGGTCGCAACGAGATCTCGACGACACCCCAGAAGACCTTTCTCCGACACGATACACAACAACCACCAAGCACAAGAAACATGCAGCCGACTCCACTTATAACAAACTCGCATGTAGCGACCTTCGTGATATGGCGAACCCTTGTCCATGTCCCAGTTTGAAACCATGCAAAATTGACCCTTTATAGCAAACAGTTTTCGTTGATAACGAACCAAATCTTGTAGGGCCGTATGTAAACCAAGTGCACTCATACTGTCATGGACCACTTGCCAGTCATGACTTGCTGCTTGTATGATGTGAGTGCGTTTCTGTTATAACAAACTTCGGCTATAAAGAGCTAATTCTCCTGCACAATGGTGTTCGTTATATCAGGAGTCGACTGTACAGAGTTGGTACCGTGTAAGAAGGTTTGTTTGGGGGGGGGGGGGTTACCCCTCTTCTTTTACCATCAAATATTTCCTGCTCGCATTTGCTGTCATGTAATTGGGTTTGTAACCTGTTTGTACTTGCGAATTCAAATAAAATTATTATATAAATACAAACAAAGAACAACCCGAAACTTACATTGACAAATGAGCGAACAACAGGGATCAGATTGTCCAGGGTATTGACCGTGAACACTCGGTGGTCAGGAAAGTTGGACGTGTTCAATTGCTGCACGTCAGGGAAACTCTGCGCCGAATAGTTGTAGACTTCCAATCTCCAGCCGGTACCACCTGCAAAGGGCAAAGACTAAGTGTTACCCAGAGTCCATAACCAAGAGTGTGCAACGCGCGATAGGGTCTTGTCACGACTCGCTTTCAACATTACGTCATTTTCATGTACATTTTCATGTAGCGAATGTCGCGGCCTGCACGCGCAGCTACGTGAAAATGACGTAATGTTGAAAACAAGTCGTGACAGAGATTTGTGTGGCGTTGCACACTCTGGGGCTTATGGACTCTTGGTGTGACCCAGGGTACTGCATACACCTGCAGACATATGCAGTCAAACCTGTCTAAGAGGACCTCTCAAGGGACCTGCAAAACGTGGTCTCTGTTGCCAGGTGGTCTCCTTATCCAGGGTCGTTTGGCTGGAAATAGCATCCCTTGGTCCTGGTTACAGTGGTCTTCTGGGGCAGGTGGTCACCTTATCAGAGTGGTCGCCTTGACAGGTTTTCCTGTAGACACATAAGCTGTAGGGGGTCCTCTTTCGGTTCGCCACAACCAAACTTGGTCCTCCCCTGAGCGGGAGCGACATTTTTTATCTCAAGAAAATGTCGACCTTGGCCTGCAAACCACTAGGGTTGGAGAAAAATACTGTACGTACTACCAGGTAGTATGTTCCCACATCTGGCCTGCGTTCTGGAATACATCAATCTCCACTTCTCCAGTCGGTACCACCTGCAAGGGATACAGGCTAGGTGTAACCATGGTTCACGTGACCACAAGTACATGTAGACACATGAGCTGGGAGCTGGAGAACACACTGTACTGGTATGTTCCCAGGTCTGGCCTGCGTTCTCGAATACATCACCCTGCCCATGCAGCCAGTGCTGCGTCCTGAGTGTGGCTGCTTACGGTGCCCGAGAATTATGACCGTCCTATGGATGTAGAGACTCCCGCGCTGCCAGCAGGACTCGTGTGCAGGCAGTGCTAAGAAACGCGGCGATGCACATGTTGACCATGGGTAGCATGTGTTGTGGTACGTTATTTTGTGTACGTCGGGTGTACGTCGGGTGTACGTGGTGTCGGTGCATGCGTGTGTTGCTGTGGTGTGAAAAGCAGTCTTCGTCTTGAGTTCGTCATGTCTAGTTGTGTTTCCGTAGTTGTCTTTCAATAAACAGTCTTTCTTAATGTAGTTATCGTCGTCCATTGTACAAGTGGGGAGATGACACGGGGCTGGGAGCACGGGAACAAAGTACAGTTGCAACACACGCAGCCATAGCAACGGCCAACCGGGCACTTGCCGATTGGAGCGCGGATAACACTACAGTGCATTCGCCAAATTGGGGCTCTCTCGTACACCACTAAACATATGTGTTTGAAAAAAATACTTTTTGCACATTACACTTCTCTAATTGTCCGCAAACTCCAACGCAGCCGCTCACACAGTTAGGAAACTTCACTTCTCAACTCCAAACTCTAAAAACGGTCTCTTCACTGTGATTCAAATTTTACGTTACACCAAATTGTCGGGCCTGGCCCATCATCAGGGTCTTAATTTTGCACATTATCTTAATCAATTTTCACACACACGCACGCATGCATACACGCACGATTGCACCGCCAACCATCACCAACCTGGGAAGCTGTTCTGTTCAGGCGTCGGCGACGATCTTCCACTGATATTGGCAGCAGCGCTACCACCACCACCAGCACCGTCACCACTGTATGAAGTGATGCGATGGCGAAGAACAGGAGTTGTGCATTGCACAAAGTACGCGCTGGTCCTTGTAACCTTGCAGGGCTTGCCATCGATGGTGACCGTGGTGTTGCCGGCAGAGTAGGCCCTCAGACCCTCCCCGACCACAGTGACCTGGCTGCCGCCTTGCAAGCTTCCCGTGGGTGGAATGATGCCGCGGATCACTGCCGGTGCAACGCAAATATACGCACATGCACGCACAAACATACGCATGCACATGCACACGCACACACACACACACACACACACACACACACACACACACACACACACACACACACACGTACACGCATGCACACGCACGCACACACACGCACACACAATATCTGCAACAAGATATGTTTGAGATGAATAGCGTACTGTAATTTCACAAATATTCCGTGTACTTTATTATCGGTACTTTCGGTGCGTCTGTTTCATACCTAAAATTTCAATACACCGAACAAACACTAACACACATAATCCAATAGGCAACTCTTCTCTGTACCGAAAATTTCTGTTCATTTCATCTGGCCTGTTGCCCTCATACCGAAAATATTGAGCACCGAAAATTTCTGAAAATGATTACTTGTACTTGTTGTAGTAGAGTAACTCTCCCCATAGCCTTGCCATGGCCATAGTAACTTCCAGCGGACAGACAGTGCCACACTAAATCCTTTGCTGCATCAAACAAACCTCAGTCTCTCCAAGTATTGCCACTGATTATCTCCCAAGAGGGCATCATCAGGGATTTGGCGACTCCTGCGATCCTAACAAACAATATCACTACAGTAATGAAAAATAACATGATGACATAAGAAGGACTGTAATAGGGGTGATCCGGGGATGCATGGTGTTGCCTGGCACTGCTAATGCAGCAGAGGTATCGCCCACTCTACGCACTGCACCTGCACACTCCCAACCTCAACCTCCGGGTTTCTGCTTTTGAAGTCGCAGAGACAGTTCTGGTCCATCGTATTAAACTGAACATTGTCCCTGACCATCTCACCAAGTATAATTGGTTTACTTTCGCACGGGACACTCGCAATGGCATAGTACTTCCCAGAGCTTTGTCAACTATGTTTACCAAATCTCCTATCTTCTCTGCATACTCGTATTGGCTCAAGCTGCCCATGGAAATGAAGACAATATCCAATATTAGACAGTTCATAGACCATGTTAAATGTCATGCCACGTTGTAGGCTCGCTCGCCTCTTTTGCTAGCTTATCTCGCCGCTCTCCACCATGGTCAACATAGTGATACATTTCACCCCGCTGATGCATTATTTTCTTCCGATTATCATCTTCTTTCCTTCATTTTTTTTCTTCTCTTGCCATGGCTGGCTAACGCCCCCTCCTTTGCATTGGCTTCTGCCATTGGACGGTGAAATAAATAAATAAATAAAGTACCCTTTGCTATAGACAGCAAGCTGTTTCGAGCATCTATACCTTATCACTACAGCTACGAGCTTTAACCCTTCGAGGACGAAGGACGAATATATCCGTTTTTTAAGGTATAGCTGGATTCCTAAAAACGAGTATTTCCGTTTTTGAGAAAATTGCGATATCAATATAATTTTTAGGTGCTTGAAGTCGCTCATATGTTGCTCAGACGAGTACGATCTGATTCTTTGTCAAGGTGAGGCATGTCGCAGTCGATCCACGTTGGTCTCGTGGGGAACCGACCACATTTGAGTATACTTAGAGAATGCGCCGATCGAGAAATTATTCGGAATTTGAAACTAACTTGTTACTTTGTTGAGAGTGCCGATGGCACGTAACCTGTCAAGTGTCTCCTTGTCTGAGGCCCTCGGCATTATCTTTATGAGCAGCGATAGTGAGGATGAACAGTATGATTTTTTTACTTTTCTGAGGATGACAGCTGATGTCAATGTCTCTTTAGAATCAAACTTTAGGACACTATATCAATTTTTGAAAATCCCGATTTTTGGAGAAAATCGCAACATACACCTATTTTGAATTGACCATTCTGACCTCTATAATGGAAATATGATGTAGAAACTTTAGGTTTTTGTTGCCTACTGATGTCTATGTCTCTTTAGAACCAAATTTTATGACACTAGATCAATTTTAGAAAATACTGATTTTTCGCCTGAAAATGGTAGGAATCCAGGTGGTTTTGGGCAGTCCTCAAAGGGTTAAGAAAGCCGAGCTACCGGCCATGGTGAAAAGGTGGCACCACAGACATTCAGATAGCTCATTGCTCTAGCGCCAGAGCACTCTAACTAAGATAAGTAGCGGGTGATGTGTAATGCAGCAGCACTAGAGCAGCCTACCGAGAGTGCTCAACAAGACAGAGAGATGTGGAGGAGCGTAATACCCACAGGCTACGCTGTACTTTCGAAATATTCATATCCTTTTGCTTTTCTTTAAGAAATTCTCGTTCTATGGACATTGAATGATATACACGAGCTTTGTGTTGTCGAGACAATGGCGTTTCCCAAAGCTGTGTGTTGTCAAGACAATGGCGTTTCCCAAAGCTGTGTGTTGTCGAGACAATGGCGTTTCCCAGATTCCATCCAACAACGGGTACACAAAGCTCGTGTATATCATCCTTTTGCTTTTTTTGCGCCATTCCGGAAAGTTTGCCGTGGTTGGCTATCACCCTTCATTTCACGGATTCCATGCCATTTCGGCGCCCTCAAGTTCAGCGCCAACCAGGTAAGCGCGGCCGTTTCAGTGCCGTGAACGTAAGCGCCGAATTTACAGCGCCACGTAATCCAGCACCGCATACTTCAGCGCTAGCAAATAAGCGCCAAAATCTCAGCACTACATATGTCAGCGCCAAATATGTCAGCGCCAAATACGTCAGCGCGACCTTTCTCAGCGCCACAGATATCAGCGCCACAGATCTAAGCGCCAATTTATTGATAATACAAACTAGTATTATACATGTTATGGACATCGCGCCTAGCGCCTGACTTCACGCTGTGATTTACCGCACTGCGCATGTTCGTGCTGTACATATTTGCGCCGTACTCGATTGCGCTGTACACGATCACGCTAAACGACTTCGCGCTGTGCTTCTTCGCGCTGTAATTGATTGCGCCTTACTTTTTCGCGCTGAGTTGCTGGGCCATGCTGGCGCTGTACCGTAGTTCACCGCTGCTGATAGTCATGGCGCTGTGAAATCAGGCGCTGAAGTGCTGGCGCTGAAATGTACTGCGCTGAAACGGTGGCGCTGAAGTGGCAAGTCACCATTGGACAAGCCAGGAAATGCTGACTAAACACAGATACAAATTAGTGAGTACCGGCCTTTATCACAATCATGATAATTATTTTAGTTGATACTGGTCTTATAAGTGCCTTATTAGTTAGCATTGCCCATACCTGGCATGTTCTTATTAGTTATCATTGCCCATACCTGGCATGTTCTTATTAGTTAGCATTGCCCATACCTGGCATGTTCTTTAGAGCATACGGCTGTTCTTGTCCATCCACCTGCACAGCGTTATATTCATACTTGGACCTGCATGGTGATAACAGGGGGGGGGGGTGATAACAGGGGGGGGGGGGGGTGATAACAGGGGGGGGTGATAACAGGGGGTGATAACAAGGGGGGGGGTGATAACAAGGGGGGAGGGGGGAGAGAGAGAAGAGGGAGGAGGTAGGCATTAGACTCGAATGGCAAACAAGAAAAACATTGACGTTCGAGTGAGCATGAACTCTCCTTTCTGTTTCTTCTCCAGTTTGATTGCCGTCATCTATTTTTAAATACCTATCTGTAACATGATATACTCAATCGGCGGACAGAACTGATTTGTCCTTTGTGAACTCATCAGCGCAGCACAGAGAACACGAAGCCGAACCTGATAGCAGTGGAAAATGAATTTTCCAAAGCCAGATTGACACCCTTGCCCGGACGTACCTCGCCAAACTTGCTTAAACTGACAAGACAGTGAGCTCTGCGTACTGCAAACAGCGAAGGTATATCTGTAGCAGGGGAGTAGCAGCCGGTCCAGCCATTTCCTCAGGCTCCATGCCAGTTTTAGTCTAACACCGGAACGTTTAACGACCAATTACGTTTTTGTAACTTTGGCCGGATCACCTTTTTTTTAACACAATGCCGAAAGTGCCCAGAATGCAGGATTTTTGCACCCTAATATCAAAATGTTCACAGGGGAGAGCCCCCGACCCCCCTCCGGCCAGTCCACCTCCAATGGCGGTCCTACGCGCCTGTCAGTAGATATAGAAAGCTTACCATCCAATATTGGAGACAAGCACGCGCACATCATAAGAACCTGCAAAACAAAAACAAACCAAAAAAAGTTCTCAACGTTCCTATTATTGTTCTTCACATCACATTTCCGTCAGGTATTTCTTTGTCCATCACCACTTTCACTAAGGCACTTTCTCTAGAATTTGTTTCGTGACATCTCAATAAAACCTTTGTGACATGACGCTTCAGCTGATTCTGTTCATTGCCATCCTTAAAAAAAATAAAAATAAAAAAGAGCAGAAGGAGATCAGTATCAGTTCTGCATATCCGTGCGCACATGGCTCGCTGTGCAGGATAGATAACATTGGAACAAAAAAAGGCAAAGACTTTTTGCTGCATAGGAATTCCTCTCCGCGTTTCCATGCATCCCACCCGCCCAGCTCCCATGCAACCCCGTCTCTACTATAGACCCCTCCTCTCTCTCTCTCTCTCTCTCTCTCTCTCTCTCTCTCTCTCTCTCTCTCTCTCTCTCTCTCTCTCTCTCTCTCTCTTCTCTCTCTCTCTCTCACTCTCTCTCTCTCTCTCTCTCTCTCACTCTCTCTCTCACTCTCTCTCCATCTCTCCCTCCCTCTCTTCTTCCCTCTCTCCCTCCCTCTCTCCCTCCCTCTCTCTCTCCCTCTCTCCCTCCCTCTCTCCCTCCCTCTCTCCCTCCCTCTCTTCTTCCCTCTCTCCCTCCCTCTCTCCCTTCCTCTCTCTCTCCCTCTCTCCCTCCCTTCCTCCCTCCCTCCCTCCCTCCCGATAGACCAGCTGACCAACCAAACAGGCTTAGCAATTCATCGTCCCCCGTTGATATCTGGACTGACCTGAAAGACGGTTCTGCAGCTGACACTTGACAATGCCTCTGTTGCGCAATGAGGACACCCTTGCCACGCTACCGTATCTAAAGGGGACAGGAGGACGGTGACACGGGGATGGCACATTTTCTCCAAAAAAAAGGAGAATGAAAAATCCTTGAAGTGAAATTGGAGTTACTTTACCAACCAGCCTCGGCTACACACACATACACACACATACATATACACACACATACATATACACACACATGCACACACACACACACAGACACACACACACACACACACACACACACACACATACGTGCGCTCATATAAACAGGACAAAGAACACAAAACTCAGACTTACGGTTCCCCAGTGGCCGGGTCCAACAGTCTGCAGCTTTCGTTTCCAACCATCACACTAGACACATGGGCAAAAGGAAGAAAAACGCATTTTTTGTGTAGATAAGTACTGCCGTATTTCCGCACATATAAAGCCATGGCGTTATATCCAAATATAAGGCCACCCTCACTTATAAAGCCATGGCGTTATATCCGAATATAAGGCCACCCTCACTTATAAAGCCATGGCGTTATATCCGAATATAAGGCCACCCTCACTTATAAAGCCATGGCGTTATATCCAAATATAAGGCCACCCTCACTTATAAAGCCATGGCGTTATATCCGAATATAAGGCCACCCTCACTTATAAAGCCATGGCGTTATATCCGAATATAAGGCCACCCTCACTTATAAAGCCATGGCGTTATAAGTGAACAAAATTCAATGTGGAGGAAGTTGCATCTGGCGTTAAAGGTGAGTTCAATTCTTTCAGTGAACGTACAGTAGCGGTGATTCTCTCTGCATGTACCCATCCCCACTGTCACATGCAATACTGCCACCACACCTTCACACAAGTTTCCATGCCACCTTGTACACAATAGGTTCACAATTTGAAATTTTCAGGGAAAATTGAAAGTACATGGATGCTCGACATGAACGTGCTACGGCACCGTACGAGTACTCGGAGTTCATATGCTGCCGATTTTTTGCATGTACGTGTCTCTCACTTTTAGCACCATGGCGTTAAAACCGAGGCTATTTTCTCCAAAAATGTGGTCCAAAACAGCGATGTTTCACCTATAACGCCATGGCGTTATATGCGCGGAAATACGGTATATGTATCGTCTTGTATTAATGACCGTCTCGTATAAGCCTGTTTTGAATACAAGCCTGATTCTCACGATGCACGGGCGGTACAAAAGCCTGGTTTTAGTGTTGACATACATAGAGATACGTGTTTGGAATACAGTAAAACCTGTAACTAAAGACCACCGCGACTAGCGACCAGCCTGGTACTACAGTAAAACCTGTAACTAAAGACCACCGTGACTAGCGACCAGCCTGGTACTACAGTAAAACCTGTAACTAAAGACCACCGTGACTAGCGACCAGCCTGGTACTACAGTAAAACCTGTAACTAAAGACCACCGTGACTAGCGACCAGCCTGGTACTACAGTAAAACCTGTAACTAAAGACCACCGTGACTAGCGACCAGCCTGGTACTACAGTAAAACCTGTAACTAAAGACCACCGTGACTAGCGACCAGCCTGGTACTACAGTAAAACCTGTAACTAAAGACCACCGTGACTAGCGACCAGCCTGGTACTACAGTAAAACCTGTAACTAAAGACCACCGTGACTAGCGACCAGCCTGGTACTACAGTAAAACCTGTAACTAAAGACCACCGTGACTAGCGACCAGCCTGGTACTACAGTAAAACCTGTAACTAAAGACCACCGTGACTAGCGACCAGCCTGGTACTACAGTAAAACCTCTAACTAAAGACCACCGTGACTAGTGACCAGCCTGGTACTACAGTAAAACCTGTAACTAAAGACCACCGTGACTAGCGACCAGCCTGGTACTACAGTAAAACCTGTAACTAAAGACCACCGTGACTAGCGACCAGCCTGGTACTACAGTAAAACCTGTAACTAAAGACCACGGTGACTAGCGACCAGCCTGGTACTACAGTAAAACCTGTAACTAAAGACCACCGTGACTAGCGACCAGCCTGGTACTACAGTAAAACCTGTAACTAAAGACCACTGTGACTAGCGACCAGCCTGGTACTACAGTAAAACCTGTAACTAAAGACCGCTGTGACTAGCGACCAGCCTGGTACTACAGTAAAACCTGTAACTAAAGACCACCGTGACTAGCGACCAGCCTGGTACTACAGTAAAACCTGTAACTAAAGACCACCGTGACTAGCGACCAGCCTGGTACTACAGTAAAACCTGTAACTAAAGACCACCGTGACTAGCGACCAGCCTGGTACTACAGTAAAACCTGTAACTAAAGACCACCGTGACTAGTGACCAGCCTGGTACTACAGTAAAACCTGTAACTAAAGACCACCGTGACTAGTGACCAGCCTGGTACTACAGACCACTTCGCCAGGAACGGACGGTCTCACATCCATATTACATGGTTGTGCGGTGTAAACCTCTAACTAAGGACCACCTGCCACTAAAGACCGTTTTCTCTGGCCCCACGGCCAGGGTGGTCATTAGTCACAGGTTTTACTGTATATATGTAGCTAGCACCGACTTTTGCTTTGACAGGAATAAAAAAATCCGCGGTTCACGTGAGGCTCGGCTAGAGGCCGAGTTTTCCGCATCCGCAGGAGCGCCACCACCCTTCCAGGATCAAGGCGCAGATGCAGCGCCTAAAGCGGTGGGAGGCGAGTAGATCAGACCCACCAGCAAAGTTGTGAAAGACCGAAATTCCATTCACTGCATCCACGTTGCCCTTGTGCCAGGCCATGCAGGCAGGCATAGTAGTGGGATGGTGTAAGACCATGATTGAGAAACAGAGGGTACCAGCTTCAATTCCGGTTTGGAATCGGAAGGCTTTTTTCCAGCCGTGCTGCAACCCACAGTTGATTAGGACAGGAATAAGCCCAGGGTTTATTCACAACAATACGGTACATGTAAGAATTGCTTTAAAAAAAGTGAATTATCGTGTCCGTTCCCGAAGGGAACTCACGACGGCCGCTAACACCCGGTAAACCCTAGCGGCAGATGCAGCGCCCAACGGTGGGGGTGAGTGGATAAGTCTCACAACCACTGGCACAAGTGCCGAGAAAGACCCCATTAGCCGCATCCATGTACCCCTTGTGCCTGGCCACAAGTTCCCAGTTGATTGTGGGTAGCAGCACGGCTAGAAAAACCGCCCGCGATTTTTACATGAATTGCTGGCCCCAGGAAAAAAACTTCTTGGCAATTATATTCACACTCTAAGGAGATATTTGCCGTGTTTGAAAACACACAATTTCGTCCATTCTAGAACTTGTTCCGATGCATGCACCGTTCGATCATACAAATTCCGTCGCCAGAATCGATGGGATCCAATTTCTCGCCGATTCTGAAGAGAGGGCGGAATTTCTAATTCTTTCGCCAGAATTGATGCACTCGACGTACACGCCATGCTAGGTCCACGAGCACGCGAGGGTGTACGGGATCCCACGTGAGCCCCTTTCGCGATTTTAATGTGTCGTAGTTCGTTTACATGGCCGCAATCCGTTTATTCTGTTCATTCGAGAAATATAAAATCTGGATCCAGTATGTGTAATCGAAAGCGCCTGTTGTGAAGACGAGGTTGGTACGACTTCGACGATGGCTAGGGAGTTGTGTGTGTCGCTTCCTCTGTGGGAGCTCGTGCTTTTCCTGCCAATTCGAATCTCACTTGACTGACTCACGACTGCCATCCAGAGCACACGAAAAGCGCGAGCTCCCACATAGGGAGCGACACACAACTCCGTTAGGAGATATTGGGTTAAGAAACTTGTTTCAGTGGAGAACAAAAGTACTTCCAGACATGAGTGGATACACTTGATTTTAAAAGACTGTGTTTGGACGACATTTAAACAACACATTATGCACGCCCAACAACGTGGACTGAATACAGTCAGACCTCGCTTATCCGGTCCTCTCTTAATCCGGACGCCTCGCCATCCGGAAGAAAACGTTAGTTACCGACTTACAGCATTATGTCATGCATATATACTGTATGAGTGTTCGATTATCCTGTTCCCTCGCCTATCCGGATATTTTTGAGGAAACGGATGTGTCCGGTTAAGCGAGGTCTGACTGTACACAGGTAAGCAATTACCGTACACCTTACCGAGAAAGAGTTCGTGATGTTTCATAGTCATTGTTAGTCACTAGAGCTCCGTCGACCAACGCATCGAAGAAATGCCCCACAATGGTGAGGATCGTCCCTGTAGGCAGACATGACACATAATTATGTGTGTGTAAGTGTGTGTGCGTGTAAGTGTGTGTGCGTGTAAGTGTGTGTGTGTAAGTGTGTGTGTGTGTGTGTGTGTGTGTGTGTGTGTGTGTGTGTGTGTGTGTGTGTGTGTGTGTGTGTGTGTAAGTGTGTGTGTGTAAGTGTGTGTGTGTATGTGTGTGTATGTGTGTGTGTGTGTGTATGTGCGTGTGTGTGTGTGGAACTGTGTGCATGCATATGCTCAATAGGAATATCTGACGAACGGTCGGCCCAAGCCCCAGCCTCCTCGGACCAAGACCATTCGACTCACACCCTTCATTCTACGGACTCTGAGAGATTTCACTTTTATTACACACAACTGAAGCTTTCAACAGGAGCACTGTTGTGTATGAAAAGTTGTTATATTTCTACTACACAGCTTCATAGTACGTATTGCGCATGCTGGGATTGATTGATTGATTGTTGTTGTTTTACCTATAAACCAAGAACCTACTTTGAAGTACATGTACAGTCAACTTGGCTAATAACGACTGCGGATATAACGACAATTTGCGAATAACGACAGGAGTTCCATGCCCACAGCAAAGTCCCATCCAACAATAGTACATAGAATGAGACTTCGGGTATAAGGACACTTCGCGAATAAGGACACTTTTCTGATTCCCCGCCGAGTGTCGTTATAAATCAAGAACCTATATGTCCTTGGACTGATAAGTCATGCAGACGTATTTATTCAGCTTTTATTTCTTGTGTACTTGCATACTGGTATTAGTTTAGTCCCACAATCTGCGATAAAATGATCCGCTGTAGCACCTACTCCACTTTTATGTTTATGTATCTATGTCATTCGGATCTTCCCAAGTTGTACAATGTACTGTTGAGATACCGAATTCAAATAAATCAATACCATACCAAGTCTGTGAGTGCATGTTAGCCTGTAAGGATGCAACCTGAGAATGTACGTTAGCCCGCAGCGGGGACGGAACGTGACAAGCGCTGAGTGACTCAACACACAAATTACAGTAAGTCTCGTACCGGCCCTGGCAACGAACGGCTTCACACTGTCCACTGTGGGTGTGTAATACCAGTTGCGAAACTGCAGCAACAAACAACAACCACAACAACAACAACAACAAAAACTTGGTACGTCAACGGAGAAGCAGCAGCAGCAGAGCAGCCACCACCATCATCCCCGGCCAGCAGCAGCAGCACCACCATCACTATTCTACCCTAGTAGGCTGCCACAGCTGATGATGTACTTACGGTAAACGTGCATCGACTGCAGCGAATAGGCACGACGTCACCATCAACTCTGATGGAGATACTCTGGTACCACCTCTCCACACCAGCATTGGACCTGGACACAGGCAGCAACGGCAGCACCAGCACCACCAACAGCAGCAGCACCACCAGCACAAGCAGCAGCACCACCAGCACAAGCAGCAGCAGCACCACAACCAGCACACGCAGCAGCAGCAGCAGCAGCAGCACCAGCACCAGCACCACCAGCAGCAGTACCAGCAGCAGCACCACCAGCAGCAGCAGCAGCAGCAATGGCAGCAATGGCAGCAGCAGCAACAACAGCAACAGCAACAGCAACAGCAGCACCACCAACAACAACAGCAGCACCAACAACAACAGCAGCAATGGCAATGGCAGCAACAGCAATGGCAAGTGAACAACTAACTCACACATTACTCTCCACAACAGAGCGAACATTCCATGAGCCAATGTTCAGAGTCGTTCCAAGTCGTCGCCTTCGTGCGGTAGTTTGCTCCACTCGCGGGCTTGCAAGGCCTCGCGAAGAGTGTCGGCATCGTATACCTATCCGACCAAGTCTCCTGCCGTTGAAGACACCCCCCCCCCCCCACACACACACACGTGTGCAGAGAGACATGCGACAACACCACTCATCCTACCTGGTAGTACAGGCTATGACCTGGGGACTAGTCTTGTGTCGCTGCACGTCACACTCGTCAGTCCCGATATGCACTTGAACGTCACTGAGTGGATTTCCAAGTTCTGGAACACACATACGTATGTACACGTATGCACATACACAAAACACACGGACACCCCCCCCCCCCCCCACACACACACACACACAAACACACGCTCACGTGCACACACATACATACACGCACACAATAACTACAACACACTGCTTGCGGTACGGGGAGTGTTGGCCAGGGAATTGAGGTGCTGCAGGGAGAGGTCAAAGGGGTCAGTCAGGTAGTCACTGCTGCAGCAGGAGTCTTGGCGAAGCCAAGAGCGGATAGTGACACCCGAGGGACTGAGACCGTGAGCCCTGAGTAGCTAAAAATGGAAGAGGCCAGCACCCTCTATTCACTTCACCAAAGTACCAGTATAATATTATGAGTAATGTGAAATTGAGACATAGGTGTGAGTACACGCACACCTCAGACCTCAGACATGCCCATCGCGAAGCGATGTTAGCGAACAGCTATGTTAGACATAGCAACACGCACACGCACGCACACACACACACACACACACACACACACACACACACACACACACACACACACACACCATTGGACCATTGGACGCCCATCGCCGGAGGCGATGATTGCGATGCTACAGCAGAAGCCATACAAACTTGTGCTGGGATTGCACCATTCAACAGCTTGCAAGGCTGAAGAACACACACACACACACGCACGCACACACGCACACACACACACGCACACACACCCCAACACACACACACACACACACACACACCAACACACACACACCAACACACACACATGCACGCACGCACACACACACACGCACGCACACACACACACACACACACACACACACACACACACACACACATGCACACACACACACCAACACACACACACCAACACACACACACACACGCGCACGCACGCACGCACGCACACACACACACACACACACACACACACACACGCACGCACGCACGCACACACACACACACACACACACACACACCACTGAACCTGAGTGCCCGCTACATGAATATAATTATAGCTACTACTCACTGTGTCCACTGCAGGGTGTGATAGTCACCATAGTTCCACCCATTACACTACCGTAGCGAGGTTGAACATCACAGATAGATGATGACTGACCTAGGAACACCAGGCCAACAAGAAGAACGAGGAGCAAAAAGCATTTGCCGTACAAGGAGATCAGTAAGAACTCAGATGGTGGGCCAAAGGAAAACAATTGTAAAAGTGGAAAAAAATGTGGGCACAAGTTATGCGATCCAGATTTTTGAACAGTCAGACGTGCACAATCTAGCACTAACTACTAGTACTAACCGGCATAGGGTCTATTTACAGCATATGCCATGCATACATACAGTATGTGTGTTCGATTATCCGGTTCCCTCGCCTATCTGGATATTTTTTGTGGAAAACGGATGTGTGCGGTTAAGCGAGGTCTGACTGTACTGCAGAACTGCAAATTTAATAGAACACTCCTGCGGTGGTCACTCACACCGGCAGTGGTGGTCTTCACTGAAGTCTGCAGAGGGCAGTGTTGTGGTTCCGTTGTTGTGCCTGATCTGTTCCGGGATCAGTTATCCCTGCTCTGCGGCCCTTGGTGAACACCGGATACAGGCAAGGCAACTGGTCCAGACGATGTGCCGTGCCGAGTTCTAAAACAATGTACCTGACAGCTTGCTTCACCACTCGCCACGCTCTTGTCTACGAGCTTTCATCAGGGCGTACAACCACAGTGGAAACTGGCCCACGTCATACCCGTCCATAAAAAGTCTAGCCGTTCAAAGCCTTCGCATTACCGACCAGTGTCACTGCTGTCTGCCATCTGGAAAATAACAGAGCGCATTGTCAACCATCAGCTTGTCAACTTTTTCCTGGAGAAACACCAGTTGCGCAGGCTCCCGACTCGGCAGATTGGATTTCGCCGTGGTCTCAGCACGGCAGATTGGGTTTCGCCGTGGTCTCGACTTGGCAGATTGGGTTTCGCAGTAGCCTCGGCACGGCAGATTGGATTTCGCCGTAGTCTCGGCACGGCAGATTGGGTTTCGCCGTGGTCTCCACATGGCAGATTGGGTTTCGCCGTGGTCTCGACACGGCAGATTAGATTTCGCCGTAGTCTCGGCACGGCAGATTGGGTTTCGCCGTGGTCTCGACACGGCAGATTGGGTTTCGCCGTGGTCTCGACACGGCAGATTGGATTTCGCCGTGGTCTCGGCACGGCAGATTGGGTTTCGCCGTGGTCTCGACACGGCAGATTGGATTTCGCCGTGGTCTCGGCACGGCAGATTGGGTTTCGCCGTGGTCTCGGCACGGCAGATTGGGTTTCGTTGTGATCTCGGCACAGCAGATTGGATTTCGTCGTGGTCTCGGCACGGCAGATTGGGTTTCGTCGTGGTCTCGGCACGGCAGATTGGGTTTCGTCGTGATCTCGGCACGGCAGATTGGGTTTCGCCGTGGTCTCGGCACGGCAGATCTGCTCACCGTACTCCACCATAACTGGGCACAAGCAGTTGGTATGGGCGGCTGTGCACATGCCATTGCAGTACGCATAGCTGGAGCCTTCGACAAGGTGTCCCACGCTGGCTTAGCTCACAAGGCTGCAGCGCTAGGCATCTGTGGCCTCTTCTCGGCTGGCTGCACTACTACCTGCAACACCACCGATCACTGTGTGTAGTCCTGAATGGCCAGAGGTCATCGCCATTTGAGATCTCTTCTGGTGCACCCCAAGGCAGCAGCATCCTGGGGCCTACCTTATTTCTTGTGTGTGTAAACAATGCCAGCACATGTCTCTCGGGTGGAACCAAGATGGGTGTATACGCCGATGACTCCACTCTCCATAGCATCCTCCAGTCACGGGAGCATTCTAGCCCCGCTGTGGCTGATCTCCAACTCTCGATTGACCGACTCCACGCCTGGGGTAGACACTGGAAGCCTACGCGTTGAGCCGGCCAAGTGGGTTCTTTAGGTGTTGTTACATTTCTTGTTACATCCCGTAGTTTTCGGTGGGTTTCGCTGTGCGACTATCAGCAGCGTCTTGTGCTTATTTTATTCTTATCTCCATGCATACAATTATTCAAGGAAAAACGAACAGGAAGAGGTTATTATTATTATTACTTCGAAGTATTATTGTTATTATTTGAGGGATTCCCCAAAGGCCGAAGCCTAAATCAAGGGGGTCTCCGAGAATAAATACACGTGTACAATACGTGTACAATAGGGGCAATTTTTGAAAGGAAGAAATTATTAAGATAAAAAAGGATTAATGTGAAGAGGTTTAATTAAGAGGTCTGAGTAGAAGCAAACGAAAAGGGTTCTGGTAAAGAAGGGGGGGGGGGTAATCAGGAAGTGAGAAAACCTCGAGGATGAAATCTATAACTGTGGAAATGGGACTTAACGTGTCGGCTAAATACACCACAGGTTTCAGATATCCTAATCTCGGTAGGCAGGGAGTTCCACGTGGTGATCATGGAATGTAGTAGAGTGGAGCGGAAACAGGGACCAGTGTGAGTGGGCAGGAGGCAAAAGTGAGTTCTGCATGTGCACTGAAACCTGTGATATCCAGACCCCGAAGTTACGCCACTTCGGTCTACCGGCCACCTTTTGGGCGAGTTTTAGCCGGGAAATGTTACTACTCTTTTGTCACTTTTCGTGGAAATAGTGATGTCATATGCCATATTCAGGCATTTCCCCCCCCCCCCAAAAATGTATGTGATTCAGAGTTACGGACATTTCGAAGTTACGGGCAGTGCCCAGGTCCCGGACCGCCCGGATAAGCGCGGTATGAGTGTAATACTGTACCAATAAATAGAGGCCATTGTCGCGTGCTCACAGCAGACATTTGCATGCGCGTGTTATTATTCAATTTATTGTGAGAGAAGACCTCAAAGACTGAGTGTATTTTTTATGTCTTATCATATAAGTGATTCCGTCCAAAGACTGACTAGTTCATACTAGCGAAACGCGCACATCAATCATCATCAGTTTCAAACTAATACTTACGCCGTGCGTCGGAGACGCCTGTACTTGGTCTGTGGCGCACAGCACCAAAAATGATGCACCGTGCAGTTTTCCTTAGTGACACACGGATACTGCGTACTTCGAAGTAGTCTGCACGCAGCACCTCGCCGGAGTACAATCATGTCGCCTTGCGCCTTGCGGAGGCCCGCATACTGTGTGTCGGATGCGGCTCAGGAGTCCCCAGGCCAGGGCAGCAAGCTTGGAGTAGATCTACGAGTGGCTCTAGCAACGCCTAGCGCCCCTATGGCTTATAGAACTCGACAGCAGCGGCTTTCTACCGGCCATTTCAACGTCGTTGGAGGACCTACCGGTACCGGTACACTTGTAAACATGTACAAAACATTTTTTTACGAACACTACACGGTCAAGTAACTGGTTCCATCGACAAAATGCTACCGTGCTGGCCAGATAGGTGCGTTCGGAAGACATTTCCGCCACGCATCGGAAACGGTAAAGTGTCGAGTAAAACTTACTGTTGCTTTACTACAAAAGGCTACGACATGTCGACAGCCTTCGTGGTCTTCAGAGTTCAGTTCAGGATCGACTGAAAAGTGGAATGAACTACTACTGTACAGTCTGTAGTGTAGTACATGAGGTCATTGCAGATCTATAGTATACGAAACGTTTTGCTTTTTTTCGCTGCTTTCGGGAAATGACTATGTGCATGCAGCCGACTGTGGCGCATGCCTGACGCAGCGGAAGTCTTGGCATCGGGCGATCCTGGATCAGCGGCGGGTCACCAGGTCACGCTGTGACCTGGTGACCCTTCGACCATGTCCACAACGCAAGTCGACGGAGTAGATCTACTGAGTAGATCTACAGTAGTCTACGTAGATCTAGGGTGAAACACCTCCCTCGCAAACGAACTGTGAACAGTAGATCTACTGGTCCGGATACGGGGAATCCTGGGCCACGGTTGAGACATGCCCACAAGACCATCACACAAGTGGCAGAGAGGAGATTGTTTTAGGCCAGACTGGAAAACACTAATTGTAGGAAACTGAACTGCTGCCTGGGAGTGTATGAGCTGGTGGTGCATGATCTAGCTAGCACAGTAGCAGTGAGGCTAGCACAGTAGCAGTGAGGCTAGCACTGTAGCAGTGACATTTCGCCTGATATTGGGCGATGTCGACACGCTCCAAGCCCTCGGAAAGTTAGTTCCAAGGGTCGAGGTCTCTGTGACCTACCGCGGGCCATAGTAGTCGAGGACTCGCAGTCACACCAAGACCATGACCTGTAGGCGCTGCACCATGAGGAAAATTGTCTTGATTGGTTCACTTCATGCGCTTAGGTGCCAAAACTTCAAAAGGCGTGAACAAAGCGTAGCTGCTGCTTAGTCCTGTTACCCATTCGGCGTTCGCACAATTATCTACAGATGAAATTGTTGCTCCTTCTCACAGACTCATCCTTCTCCTCCTTTCTTTTATCCTCCTCTCACCACCCCTTCCTTTCACTTCCCCTCCATGATTCGATGATTCCCTGTCTTGTTAGTGAGCATCTCTGCTCGTTTGGTTCTGCAAATTCAAAATAAGACAAACAAACAAGTTTAGTTTAGCCCAATCTCTCGCTAGCATCACTCCGGTCAACTGTGGAGACACTCGCAAGCAACGTATACCTTCACAGGCATCGGGAACCAACTTGAAAACACAATGCACGGAGACGACACCCTCCTAGAACTATCACCACCACCACCACCACCACCACCACCGCCACCGCCACCGCCGCCGCCGCCGCCGCCGCCGCCGCCGCCGCCGCCGCCGCCGCCGCCGCCGCCGCCGCCGCCGCCGCCACCACCACCACCACCACCACCACCACCACCACCACTAAGGTCTTCCACTTCCAGTTGCAATAGTCATTACAGTCAGACCTCGCATAACCGAACACATCTGTTTCCACAAAAATATCCGGATAGGCGAGGGAATCGGAAAATCGAACACACAATACTGTATGCATGCATGCCTCATGCTGTAAATCGGTAACCAACGATTTTCTTCCGGATGGCGATGGATCCGGTAAAAAAAAGAGGACCGGATAAGCGAAGTCTGACTGTATCAGATGTTATCGGTCTTAGGGCTTCCTCGGGGAGTGTGTACAGAATAAAGCCGGTTCAGTTGTAGTGTTGGCTTTGAGAATCTAGCTGCTAGTTGTTAGCCCCCACATTCACACACGGCTTTCCACGCAGCTTTTCCACACGGCTTATCCAGTCTGATTAGGATCTTTTTGAGGCTTGCTGAAAGGCAGGCGAAGTAGGCGTTCAAGGCGTAGAGTAGGTCAGGTAGGATAAGAGCTGTATAGTAAAGGAAGGACTGCGCACGGGTAATGTCTGCTCTGATGTCTCGCAAGACTCGGAGTTTGTAGGACACCTTCTTTACTACAGCAGCCACTTGACCTGTCCAGCTCAAGCGCTCGTCCAGATAAATACCAAGGTATTTGGCTGTGCTGGTTTGAACCAGAGGAGTGCCACGACATGGACATGTAACTGCATGCTCCAGTCTGCTCCGCCGTGTTGTTGTTTTTGTTGTTGTTTGGCTTTATTTAGACTTCCAGCGGAGATGCCCAGAACCTGGGTTTTCTGGGCTTTGAGGGAGAACCTGGGTTTTCTGCGCTTTGAGGAAGAAGCTGGGTTTTCTGGGCGGTGAGGAAGAAGCTCGGTTTTCTGGGCGGTTAGAAGCACCTTTCCCTTAAACCAGTGAATGGGTAAGTTAACGTTAGTTTAGCAGTTGTAATTGACTTACCTTGGGCGGACGCTCGCTCCAGCAACGCTGTACTGAGCCCGAACCACGTGACCAGCAATGGCACAAGTGGCAGCAATCCGGCAGTGGCGCTTTGCCGGCGTGCCAGTCCTGGCGGAACGGCACATCGCTCCGTCGTCACGTTCAGACTGTCTTTACGCCCATTACCACCATCGCACTCTGCTCCTGGTTCGGCCGCTAGGAGCAGATCCGAAGCCATCGCTAACGCTTTCAAGCGGCAGACAAACAGACTGGCACCAAGGCCTCTGCGGTCGTCCGTCTCGCATCCAGAAGCGGACTCAGCCTCATCCAGCAGCCCAAGGCCAAGGTGCGCCCAGTGGAGGTCCCGCTTGCACACTAGAGTGTGTTCTACGGGTCGACCAGGGATGCGAGCTCATTTGACTTCGCTCTCCTCAGAGTCAAGTGGTGTTCTTTTCGCAAACTCCTTGCGTCTGCTCCTAAAGCGAATGTTGTAGATCTGGACCGTGTCGACGGACACCACCACCAGTGCCAGGCACCACCATACCTACAATACAGGCTACATAGTACAACATGTCATGTACGTATTGACTTGTGCATGGTGTTGTGCCAGGACCACTCAGCACTACAGCAGGCAAAGAGTTAGGTCGGGTCCTGCTAGCTGGACATGAAGTATGATCTCATCAGGTCTGAACTGGAGACTGGAGTGGCCTAGCGCCCCTAGACTGTGTGCTGCTAGGCCGGCTGGTGATGTTACGACCCGCCCACGATTCGGCTAGACAGGGTTCAGCTAGTGCCAATACTAATACTAGTAATAGGCAATACAATGTACTAAATCAGTAGTGGGGTGCTGACTTCGACTTTTAAAAGCTCGAGGCAAAAACGGTGTGAATGATCACCGGCATGCATTCTACGCGTGCGCCAGGTGTACACACTATAATAAAAAAAGTATGGCCACGGTGGGAAGAGTGTGTCGCTTCGCTAATCAGCGTTACTGTCACCGCATGCACTGGGAGAAGAGCCAATACGGCAATAGCAGCTATGTCCATGTCCATGTCCATGTACATCTGGCACTGTGCGGTGCAGCGTACGTGTATCCTTCCATACTACTACTACTAGTATAGTATTACTATTACTATGGACTGCGGTTACGCGATTATAGGAACAGCTTAGCGGTGAAGTGCTGGCTGTGTGCGTGGTGGACGTGGTGTCAGCTGGAGACCATACGTAATGCCTACGAATGGCTACGTTCGTCGCCGCTTTCAACCAGGAGCTGAGGCTGGGAGTACTAAACACAGGTATATCCAGTACTCCCTATAGCTGGTGTCAACAATACATCGGACCGGGGTAGTACGAGTAGAGCGCAAGGTAACTGGTTGGTTCGGGAGTAAAGACTTTTAGGTACCGTTACGAGTAGTATGCATTCCCAATGGCAATGGCCATGTCACTTTTTTCTTCATGTCAATGCCCCACACACGCTGGCTTCCACATGCAGTATGCATAATTATTATGATGCAGTGCAGTATGCTGGTGTGCAGGCCGGCCGGATGAAGAAACCATTACCGGCATTACTGCTTTTTCACCATGACAGGCAAAACAGAAGATTTAAAACTTGTCTTCGCCTGTCATGGTGACAGGGCCGTTCATTGAGCTACACCGACTGACTGTGAGTGTTACAGAGGCTATGGCAAGGGCTGCTGAGACTGCAGGCTGCTGAGACTGCATCAGATCCGGTGGAAAGTGATACCAAGTCAGAGTCCGAACCCGGGGTTTTCTTCCCCATACGGTTCAAATGGTCGTAAGACCGGGACTCTGCCAACCGGGTTGTGGTTGTAGTCCGGAGTATTGTACTGTGCGTCCTCACCTTGTAATTATAATAAACATGTTGTCAAATTCGAATACATGATACCCAGGTTCGAAGTGCGGATTTGGCATTTCCCCAGCTCTCCTAGTACTGTAAATGCCATATATACAACGAAGTGCTAACTCTAACGAGTTAACGAGGAGAAATCGGTCGTTAAAATAGAAATCGTTATACAGAAATCGATACATATACTGTCCTATTGAGCGTTGAGAATAAGTGAGAATCGTTACCTTTGCTACACGTAATGGCTTTTACAGTATTCTATTCTATTTTATTCACACCGGAACTGCTGCTGCTGCTGCATAGCTCTAAGTCTAACGACTTAGCAGCGTCTCGCCTACACTTGACTCGTTCGCTATGACTCCCCTCGTGACTTCTCACCTTGCTCTCCCTAATATTCTGGCTGCCCGTTTTGGAGCCATCAGTTGCCTGATGATCGTAGTAATACGTGAAACTCAGAGTTGCGACACAGCTTCCAATCTATCTCTTGCGAGTCACACTGATGTCGACCGAGGTAGCTCTCTTGCTACTGTGAAATAGTGACATGTACCCAGCTAATGTCTCTGCTTCGTTCAGGGAATTCAGAATAGGAAGTCTGCTGTACCACCCGCTCTTTTCTTTTTACTTTTAAAAGCGATTATTAGCGATAACATGGAAATTTGTTCCTTGGCTCACCATCTGAGTTCTTAAAGCTATTATTCATTTTCTGCTGCCCCCGGTTATTTCTTTTATTAGTAGTATTTTCTTTGCCTTCGCTTTCTTGTTATTGGGCAACTTGCCCGTTAGAATCTGCGAAGTAAAATAAACAACAACAACAACAACAACAAGGCGGAGGCGCACTGTGTTGAAAACACTGCTCCTGACTACAACCATCATCGGCTGGCAGAGTCCCGCGAGGCTGTGAAATCACTAGTGGTGAAACGAATATGATGCATTATTTTCTTCCCATTATCATCTTCTTTCCTTCATTCTTTCTTTTTTTCTTCTTCTCTTGCCATGGCTGGCTAACGCCCCCTCCTTTGCATTGGCTTCTGCCACTGGACGGTGAAATAATAATAATAATAATAATAATAATAATAATAATAATAATAATAATAATAATAATAATAATAAATAAATAATATCAAAACCCAGCAGCCGAATGTTCTTTGGCTTTAACGAACGAACGAACGAGTGCTACGCCCAGAAGCGGCTCGTCCTGGTGTGGCGCTGTGTCAATGGGAAAGCCAGCAGTGTCCTCCAGGACCTATTCTCACCATCAGCTGGCAGCACCACCCGGCACCAGGTTTCCAGGGGCCTCACTGTCCCCTCGGCACAGTCAGAAGCCGGCAGATCTCGCCTGGCCTTTCAGGCAGCCTTGGCCTGGAACGCTCTCCCAAGGAGTGTAAGGGAGATCAAGGCTGCCCAGCAATTTAAGCTTGCCTCCATCCCCTACACCTTGCAATGAATGCTCTGTCTGACTTTTCCCGTCCACACACCACGTCATTTACTCTTCTCTGCGTGCTTGTGCGCTTATGAACTCTTTGTGTTCCCTCTGTTGACGCTTCAAAATCGCTCTATTGACACTGCAAAATCGCTCTGTTGACGCTGCAAAATTGCTTATCATCTCCCTCCCTCCCCTCTCTCTCTCTCTCTCTCTCTCTCTCTCTCTCTCTCTCTCTCTCTCTCTCTCTCCCCGTAGCTCTCTCCCTTTTGAAATTCGCTTCCATAGAATTGGGCACCATTGCCCGTTTGGCCTTGCGAAGCAAAATAAAAATCAACAACAACAACAACGAATATTCTTTCGTTAACACGGATGACATCACACACCCTCCTCTCAGTCATTTTATTGGATATTGTCACTTTTATTAGGCATGACAAACGAAGGCACATATTTCTCCATCATTTCTAGGTCAATTTTCACAAAATCCCCAGCTGAAGTGCATTCTACACGCTCAAAAAACAGCTCAAGACGTGATTTTTCTTTCGACTCCCCGGGCCGCCATAACTCCATTCCAGAACCTCGGATCGCGTCCGGGTTGGTTCGAGACGACAGCTGAGAGTTTTCTAATGCCGATGGAACTTTCGATGAAGCGGTTCGGTCAAGTATTCGCGAAGTTACGGAAGTTTGAAGTCGCCTGCTAAACTCTGCATACCCGGTTAGCGAGAAATATTCGTTCGAATGTGACAAACCGAACGAACATTCGAATATTCGGTATAATTATTCGTTTCACCACTAGTTCAAATCACCCAAACCAAAAAGGGATCGATGAGAGAACAAACCTCCTCTAGCTCTCACCAACGTTAGTGTACACTGTCCAGCTTCGGAACGGCCAAGTTCTCAAATCCATCAACTAACTTCCTCTGTGCGAAGTTTTGAGTCCTCTCTCTGAAGTCACACACAAGTGCCAGAGGCACGATGCCTCTGTCGAAAAAGCCATAGCACAGATTTCGGCTCCCGAACTTTACATATCATCAGATGCTGCACAGCAGGGGCGGTGGCATATTGGATGGAAGTGGGGGCGGGGCAGAAGTAGCTCCTCCGACCAAGGGTCTGGGATTCATGTGACTCATGTGCGCCGATACGAAGGAGAAATGAAAATGTGCATACAATAGAAAAGCACCTTCGAAAACGATAATGGAGAGAATTGGAGATGGGACATAACGCAAAGCAGTGCACTGTGGAAATATTTTAAGATGGAGAGAACTGATAATTGCATAACGATGACTGGTTGAGCGAAGGGGATCAGAGAGGGGCAGAAGGGAGTTAGAGTGACGTCAGTATAATTATTAGGCTGGTGTGTTGGCTGCGATGGAGAGATCATAACCTGTCTGTGCCACACTCCCACTTGTTGCGCCGCAAGTGGTCGTTGCCATTCTTCTTGAAGGTGTGCATACTAGTACCTCTGCGAGAAGGGGGAGACTGCAGAAGGGTAGGTGCGAGCTGATTCCATGTTGCGATGAGGGAGTGGGGAAATGAGCGGAGTGAGCATGCAGGAAGGATACTGGCGAGTTGTGAAGGATGATGTGCTACAGATCTGGTTGTTTCACGAGTAGACATGCGGCATTGCGGTGCGGTTGCTGATGGTGGCAGAATGGCTTTCAGCATGTCCGGACCCTCCACAACGTGTAGCCTGTACAGGAAGCAGAGCCCTGCTATGGTACGTCGAATGTCCAGGCTCGGGAGGTGTGATCCGTGTAGCGCACGGCGCTGGATGGCAGTGAGGCGGGCCAATGTGGTGGAGGCCGTATTCTTCCACACCAGCATGCCATACTCTAACACAGAGCGGACAAAGCCACGGTACACGATTGCCCGGTGCTTTGTTTGGGTCTAGCACAGCCGTTACGGAGGAAGCCGAGCCGCTGGGCTCCCCGCACTGCAAGCTATCGGATCATGGCTGCGGAATGCCAGCTGCCTGTTGAAAGTGACGCCAAGAAGCTTGAGTCAATGAGTGCCTCTACTTCTGGCACGACTGCTCCTTGGAAGCATATTATTACGTTTGCCACGGTTTGGAGGGTTTTGGCGAGTGGTGATGCCTGATGGCTGATGTGATGGTCAATGCCTGCGATCCTCCACCTGCTTATTCCCCATGCTGCCAGTGCCCACTACTACGTGTACTACTACCGGTACTAGTGCACACTGCCTTTTACTCA